GTTGATGAGAAAAGAACATTGAAGACGACAAAAGCTTTGTTCAGGTAGGCAGAAAAAATATTTTTCTGTATCCAGTTCAAATCTTATTAGTGGTTTATGTGAACGGCAATAAATGAGCACGAAATGTGACTAAAATTGGCGAACGATCATATTAAATTTCAAAGTAGTTCGTCCTGGCCATGTCATTACTATGGCAACCGCTGTAGATGGTGACGTCACTGTCTGAACATAAAGATCAGATTTCATCACTTGCAAATTGTTTGAAAAACAAGCTGAAATTGGATGCGGTGTGAACAAAGCCAGAAAGCTCTTTGATAAATTCCCACAGAAGCTGCGTCCTATCAAACGCTGATGAAAATGACCTCAAATGTATTCCGTTTTTGATTGGTTCATTAACGTTGCTGTATCAGATTGAAAAATGTTATCTGTGTTTGTAATGATGGTGATTATCATAATCAGATTCAAAGCACAGCACCAGGTAAGCATAAGGTAACTCTGGCTTCTGTTAATGAATGCACACACACGGCCAAAACGCTCACACACACACACGCTGTCAGGAGTCAATCATGTGTAACCTTTGTGAGCTCGTTATATCATTTTTTAAATATATATAATTGATGCAAGATGTAGATCTACTCACCTGGTCAGGAGTGAGGTTGAAAACTTTTCAGATTAGATGGAGTTGTTGCTTTGCACCATGAAGTAATAACTGGATGGTGGCTCGACCAAATTATTGTATTACTCGGAAATGCACGTAGTTTTCTGAGCAAGGGTTCAATGAGCATTTTTCCTGTTTTTTTCCTCAGTCTTAGGTTGGAGAGAACATTTTCTGCACAGAACCATGACAATTCTAGGTAATGCAAGTGGGCGCAGAACCACACAGACTTATTGTACAAAACGATTTGTTAGGGTAGTGTTCCCATTTTTATTTCATTTCATTTTATTTATTTTTTTGTTTTATTTTGTTTTATTTTTTTTAGGTTTGGTGTCAGTGATGGTCCAAGTGCTGAACAGTGACATCAAACATGAAATATAGTTCTTTTCATCGTGATATATGTAGCGTCTGCGTAGAATCATGCATGATCTTTGGGTGTTTATGGCTTAAGAAAATTATTTAGATGCGTGTTTAAGTTTCAGTCCCTTTTTAAGGTGATTTTTGGATTCTCTGATGATTTTCAAAGGTTGTGGTTAAGTGATGTGAAATACTGCCATTCTTTTCTATTCTCTCTCTTTTCCTTACTTTGTTTCATTCTGTGTATATATGTTTTAGTTAGTTATATGTTAGATATAGTTTCATTTATTAAATCCCTTTATTCACAACGGATTGTCTCTGTTTACTGCTCACAGTTCGAAGTCAATGAATGTGTGAACCCTTGCTACATTTTGCTAAATTAATGCTAGCACTGCACAAATAAGGACAGTTTATTGTTCCGTGGCCAGAAAAATAAACATTCCTTGAATTGATAAATGATTATATTGTCTGCTCGGTGGACGGTCAGATCAAATAATTGTAATATTGATTCTGCTACGATTAATTCGAAGATATAATCTAAATATTTATTATGAATCATAACCAGTTATAATTCGTCATAAATATTTCCCTTTTTAGAGCTAATAATAATAAAAACCCTACATATAATAAAGAGGAACATAAAGGTGTTGGTGTTCTCTACAAATAATTATTCTCTTGAATGATAATGATAATAATAATTAATTGTACTATTGTAATACAACTGCAGTGTAAAATAAAAATGAATGTTTTATAAGTATTTAAATTATTTTATTTTACACTACATTTGTAAAATACTTAGGTCTTAATTTCTTCACTTGCTTTTTTATTATTCTTTTTTTTTTTTTAAATGTCATTAGTTACTCTAAATATTTTCATTAGTTAATCAAAATATTGATATCTCGATATTAATCGATTCTAATTTTTACAGAACGATATTGATTATTAAATCCCAAGAATCGATTAGTCTAGCCTGTTTTCAGGTAATGGACGGAATGTTGTAGGGGACGGAACGTCCCATCCAATATATCGCAATAAGCATTGTGCTTTGGTACTTTTAATATGAAACAAAGTCTCAGATTTCCGTATCCTGTCTCATGTAATCGCTCAATCAGTGTTTCAGCCGTGCAAAGACGTCAGTATAACGTCTTGTAAACAATGTCACGTAACTTCACATTTACCTCAGAAAAACATGTTCGGTGACCATAAACCCATTAGTCAGATAGAAAAATAATCTGTAGAGTGGGGCATTTTGCAAAATATATGCACCATATAACATATTCATTATAAATTTGACTGTTCTTCAATGTTTAATTTATGTTTGAATAAAGCCATCAAGTTTTTATGACAGCCACCATTATGTTTATATTTAAAAAAAACGAATTGAAGTAGAAATATTTTTATGTAATTGTAACTTTATTATTTTAAAAACTTCATTAAGTGTAATTTTAACAAATCAGTCAATTTGAACCTTCAGTGTTATAGTAATGTAGTACCAACTGACTCTCGTGTATATTTTACAACATTAGTTGAGAGATTTTTTTTTTCCTTGAGAAAATTTGGCATGTACTGTACCTGATATATAACCAAAATAATCGATATTGAATCTAATCGGTAATCAAATCGAATTGCAAGCTAGTGAATGAGAATCTAATCGAATCGTGAAATTTGTGTCAAAACCCAGCCCTAGTCATCATGAAAAGGCATCACGTTTCTATTTTGTAAATGATCTTACTGTACACAGTTCATCTGTGCATATATTTCTTTCTTCTTCTTGACCTTGTAATGTTTAATCAATGTCATAACTGGAAGGCAGATTTCTCTATGGTGAAGCATGCAGGACTTCTCCAATCATCTAGTCCTCTTAAACCCTGTGCATTTCTTACAATCGACTGCGAGCCCACGTTCATCTGCCTCCATTTTTGAATGCACCTTCAATTCTAATCAACAACCAATGCATAGAACCTGCCCTACATTTTTTATCTCCTGATAATAGTAGTTATGTTAATAGCTGGTATCACCTATCCACAAAAAAAAAAGTGCATTGTGTTGCCAAATGCATGTTGAACTCACAGCCCATGGGAGAGTGGAAGGATTTACTGTGAACACGATACAATAAAAACATTGGCTCATGAGCTGCTTGCATGCCGCACATCGCTCTGAATCCTTCAGCGCATTAGACTATGTGCTTATTTAATTAAATCACAGCCTTTTGCAATTTGATAATCACAGTGAGCCATATTTCTATTCTGATTTTAGTTAAATTCAAAGACGCATTTCCAAAGCAATTGCACAAAACACTAGATTTGTGAGATTAAAGATCATTTATGTTATTATGAGAAGGGACCAAATCGTTTCAGTGTATTATGTATTATGTATAAACTGTGGTGGGCCTCCAGAGTCTAGGGAATTAATGGAAAATGCTTTTTATGTACATACATTTGCTGCATCACCAGTCAGAAAGTGTTTAAATTGAAAAATTATATGCTTCACCTTTAGCCAAAGATGTGGCAAAAGGTCCCCTTAGAACATGATTAAGTACTCCCAGCGGTGTCTGTTTAGAAATCTGTAGTTAGGCCTTGTTCACAACAGGAAAAAAACACATGAATTTAAAATTTTACAAGCATGTGCCAAACCACCTTCATAGATGGTTTAAAATGGTTCAAAATGGTGATGTGAAAAATGTTTTAAAGTGAAATTTATGGAGCCAGATCGGCCTCAAAAATAACACATTTGCAAAACAAAATTCATAAATGCACAGCACAATTTACATTTACAAAATCCGATTCATAAATACACAAGTAAATCATCACACATGCGTGGACTGCTTTGAATTTGTGTGTGGTATTTTTGAGACCTTCCTGGCAGGTTAAGATTCATAAATATCTTTTTTTGGAGGATGTTCCGTTCAGCCAATCGCGGTGAGCTTTTAATCCACCAATCAAAACGCTCTTTACTGAACAGACTCAAGAAGCTGATTACAATTTCTACAAAATCACATTATGCGGAGAGATTTAGCATGGAGGATGAAAACCACACTCAACGAGTGAGTAAAGTCGTTTTTTTTATCTGATGGCATTTTCTTATGATTAAAGGTTGTTTTAGTTAATTAAGTGTGCAGTGTTACAAAGTTGTTAGTCCATGCCAGCTTTCTTATATTATAACTGGTGTTTGTAGGAACACTTTAGTAATCACAGGATGAATGGGCGATAAACAATCAGTAAAACAACGATTTCGATGCTAAACTATTGCATAATTTTAAATACGATTTGTAGTCAATGGGTTCTAAAGTTACCATTGCGACCAGCTATAATCATAAGAAAATGGCATCAGATAGACTATATTCTCATGCTTTTATAACTCCAAAGACAGACACCGGGTGTCTGTGAGCCCGAGCTAATGAAACATTGCCAGCAGAAATTATTTTCCGTTGAAAAGGAGTTTAAAATAATTAACCTGGGTGCTGGAGCCCCTATCCATTATGCAGTCTTATTTAATAATTGATTGCTGTAAGTGATATTTCCCACACAGATGATGATTAGAGACTTTGTAATAGCGTCTGTTGTTGAGACGGCTCTGAATGATGATAAATCAGTCCTACTGTCTCCAGCCATGTCTCTGATCCGTCTGTGCTAAAATGTTATGATTAGTATCAATTTAAATGGATGTCATCTTCAGTAGAATCTTTCAGGGGACGCCATTCTGTCACAAAGACCCAAATTGATTGCGATTCAATTGGGGCACCTTTGTAGTAACCACTCATGAATAGATTTCACATTCCTCCCCTCACTGTACAGTTTACATTCAAACATTGATCCGTCCTGCTTTGATGTTGGGAAATGTGAAACAAATGGAGCAATGATAGAAGCGATAAAATTGGAACATGTCGCATCCTGGTGTTAAGAACAAGAGCCGTGCTATTGGCTAGAGCATTGTTTCTTATCTCAGCTTGAAATATGTGGAAAAAGTGCTGACGGTTTTATCACTCCCAATGCCGGTTGGTTTATTCCTTTCGTTGTGTCCCAGCAAACCCTTTTATATGTTTCTGTGTGTGTGTGTTTGTTCTTTGGTAGCTGTCGTGGGGTGTGAAAATCAAGAGGAAGTTGAAAAGCGTGGCTCCTTTCCTGGGCAGGTTCAGGCCGCTGGTTGGACAGTGCTGTCACCAATGCACCCCGGAGAGTCTGGTGAGAAAACGAGAGGGATGAAAAGATTATTTGAAGATAATAAAAGGACAAACAGCCAGAGGCAGACGGGGAAGTACACAGATTTAGGCTCACCTGAAAACCTCAGATGCTGCTTTCACAAACCCATATCATGAGGGACGATCAAAGGGATTTCAGAGCACAAGCGAACATGTTACTTACGGTAGGAATAGCACGAAAAAAGGGATTAGGAGTGGAGAGAAAAATAATGAACACTCAAGAGCATAGTTCCCCCCCGTGCTATGAAGAGCTTTTTAGAAAACTGCAGATGACTAAGCTTGTTTCCAGCAGCACTGGTCCCAGTGGACACATCGTGCTGAGAGCTGGGAGAGCAGGGCTAATGGAGCGGTAATCAGAGGGTTATTGGATCGAACCTCTCCTGAACGAATCTATTAATCTGAACCATCTCAGACCAGCCAGCCAGATAAATCATATTTGAGCCATTTGGTGTTTGTATTAAAAGTCATTTAAAATGCATGCATGGATTTTATTTAACAGCTATGTCAAATAAAACGAACAGAACCAGGGGCGTAGCAACTGCTATACTTTTTGAGATGTCTGCATTTGCCCTCCTAGTTTTTTTGCGCAGGTAATTATTGATAATCAGGGCCTTAAAGGAATAGTTATTTACTCAAAGTGATGTTGTTCTGTAGAGCGCAGAAGGAGATGATTAGTGGGAGGTAGTAATTTAACTATTTTCTGTGGAAACCTTCTGCTTCGAAGTTAAAGGGATAGTTCACCCAAAAATGAAAATGTGTTGTTTATCTGCTTACCCCCAGGGCATCCAAGATGTAGGTGACTTTGTTTCTTCAGTTGAACACCTTTGATGATTTTTAAGCACGTACACATCTCACGCATATGAAGTCGTGCGCATGCTCGAAGCAGTTGGACGTAGTGGTGTATTAGAGGTAAAAAATTATATAAATACTGTTCGGTTTCTGGCATAAACCGATCGTTTCGTGTGTTGGGATATCAATGTGTCGTCACGAGCCGCAGGGTTTAATTTGGATTTGTCTGTGCATGTTTTTTTTACTCTCATAGACTTTGTTACCATTGCCATCCATTATAAGACTGATGGACTCCAACGGTTGGACTTAAAAATCATCAAATGTGTTCTACTGAAGAAACAAAGTCCCCTACATCTTGGATGCCCTGGGGGTAAGCAGATAAACATCACATTTTCATTTTTGGGTGAACTATCCCTTTAAAATAAAAAAGGGTTTGTGGGAAATTTTAAAATATGAAATGAAGTCACATTGTGAGAAAATAAATTGCAATTTGGAGATCTAAAGTTGCAATTGATCTTTTCTTTCTGAAGTAGAAACATTCATACTTTTTCAGTTTATTGTCGTAAAATCTGGCGCAGCACATCTTAACTCGCCACTACTGTTCAAAAGTTTGGGGTCAGGAATTTGTTACAATCTTTTAAAAAGTCTATTTTGTTTACCAAGGCTGCATTTATCTTAGCTAAAATACAGTAAAACCAGTCATATTTGGAAAAGAAACCGTTTAGAATAATGTTTTCAAATATAATAATTTTAAAGTCCAAATTATTATTGTTGTGATGCAAACCCTAAAAAAAAAATATTTAAGATACATTTCCTACTAAGTATTGTTCAAATCTATTAACATATTCAGTGACATATCGCTCGAGACTTACTGATATAAACATTTATTAAACTTTATTTGGAGTATCACTTGTGCACAATACACATTTCTAGAGATATTTATGAAAGATATAAATGCAAGATATTTAAAGTCTACCTGAAGTATACTTGCAATAGTTCCACTTCAGCACAATCAAATATACTTCAGTATATCTTTAGTTGGACTTCAGCAATACTTCCATACAATTAAAGTGCATTAAGTACAAAATTAGTTGTTCCAATTTAGCAGACTTTAAATATGCCAGTTTAGTATACCAAAAGTAAAATTGCAGAATATTTTTTATTAAGTACATAAATATGTAAATGCTTTTGTAGTATACTTGGCATGAAATAAATGTATTTCAAACACATTTTAATATATTTTAATTTTTCACTTGGGAAGCTGAATTTTCAGCATCATTGCTTTAGTCTCATGATTCTTCAGAAATCATTCTAATATGCTGATTTGCTGCTAAAAAACATGTCTTATCAACGTTGGAAACATTTATGCTTTTGTGACTTTAGGATTGTTTGATAAATAGAAGGTTCAAAAGAACATCATTTATTTGAAATATTAATCATTTTCATAAAAATCAAAGAACATTCTGACCCCAAACTTCTGAACAGTAGTGCAACCATTAGTTTATTTCCAAAAAAAGAAATTTTTACAGCCAATAGTGACTTACATTTTGGTTTATTCCAAAAAATATGATAGTTTTCACTTTTGAGGAACTAACCCTTGAATTTCAAGGAACTAACACTTTAATTTCAAGTGGTTTATATGCTGCTACACAGAAAAGATAATACACAAGTTATTAATTTGCAAAAGTTTATTGAAAAAGTAAATTAGTCTTAGTTTGTTTGAGAGCTTTGAAGAGGGCTGATGCTGCAAGGGCTGTGATCATGTTAGCTATGGTTGACGCAAATGGCAACCCAAAAAATAAAATGCATATTATTACTCCACTCCCAACTCTTATATTCACAGCCTCTCAAATACGTGTGTTCTAGACACTTTTTAGTGATGAATTGTTGGGAGCTGATACAGACGCTTGAAAGACTAATTGTACGGTAGCTCACTTAAAGGGACAGTTCACCCAAAAATGAAAATTTGATGTTTATCTGCTTACCCCCAGGGAATCCAAGATGTAGGTGACTTTGTTTCTTCAGTAGAACACAAATTATGATTTTTAACTCCAGCCGTTGCAGTCTGTCTTATAATGTAAGTGAATGGGAATCACGGCTTTGAGAGTGAAAAAAATCATTCACAAACAAAACCAAATTAAACCCTGCGGCTCGTGACGATACATTGATGTGTAAAGACACAAAACGATCGGTCTGTGCTAGAAACTGAACAGTATTTATATAGTTTTTTACCTCTGATTCACGCAATGTCCGAACTGTCCTGAGCGGCAGCGCGTCCTCCTGAGTGCGTTCTCAACAGCCGGCACGTGACGCGTCTTCTTCTTCTTGCTTTACGGCGGATCGCAGACTTATAAGTGCATTACCGCCACCTATCTCTCAAATGGACCATTGACACTCTATCTTCAATCTCAATTAGGAGTCTCAATGGTCCATTTGAAAGACGTGCCGGCTGTTGAGAACGCGCTCAGGACAGTTCGGACATTGCGTGAATCAGAGGTAAAAAACTATATAAATACTGTTCAGTTTCTTGCACAGACCAATTGTTTTGTGTCTTTACACATCAATGTATCGTCACGAGCCGCAGGGTTTAATTTGGTTTTGTTTGTGGATGTTTTTTTTTACTCTCAAAGCAGTGATTCCTATTCACTTACATTATAAGACTGACAGACTGCAACGGTTTGAGTTAAAAATCTTCGTTTGTGTTCTACTGAAGAAACAAAGTCACCTACATCTTGGATGCCCTGGGGGTAAGCAGATAAACATCAAATTTAAATTTTTGGGTGAACTATCCCTTTAAACTAACCCTGTCACTGAGATTAAAAGACACTGTTTTGTCTGCATTACGTTACACAACCAGCATTTATTTATTTTAATTCTAATTTATTTTAAATATGCAAGTGATCAAGTCTTACACCTGGACTGTAACATATCCAGAGTCAATTTGTCACTTTCTCAATCTCTGTCAAGTAAAAATAGGCAAAAATATAGAAACTATATCAGAAACTAGCTTTTTTAAAACTGAGTTGCATGTCAACGTATTTTGAGAAACATTTTATTTTGGAAGTATTTTATTGAGGCATTTCTTTCAGGCTGTGATTTATAGTGGAACTAATAGGGTGCTATTTTAAACACTAAAAGGCTTCCCGAAAGTGTGTCATTATCTCAGTCTATATGGGACAGCAGAACAGACTCTCTGAATTGTGATGGAGGCTGGTTAGCACGCTCTCCATCAAGTTTGATCAAATATCTTCTTGTCACTCTCAGGGTCTGAAGTTGCTGCGTAACACTCCTCCTCTGGGCTTTCAGAACCTGACGTGTGTGAACGAGACACACACCGGGTAAGTGCACATCCTTCACTCGACTCAAGCCCTCCCCTCCGGCTTCAAACTGCTCGAGTGTAATTACTGTTTGCGTTTCTGTTCGCACGCCTGGCACATGCACTTCAGTCACAAAATAAAGAGCCCTAGAATAACTTTCTCTTCATTTTTTACATCGCAGACCCACAATCGAGCGTGGTTTCCACAACCCCGCTACCCTTTTGTGAAAGGGTACTCTTTTTGAGTCACATCGGCCATGAACACACACAGCAGTGCTGGGAAGATACTTTGAAACTGCTGCTTTCCAAGCACAAGCTAGTCATTTAAAGTAGTTCAGCTACAGTCAAACTACTGTTTTGATAAAGTACTTGGCTTCACTACAAGCTACTAACAAAAAGTAACTAACTTCATTGATGCTATGTAAGAGTTCTACAAATAAATGCTGTTCTTTTGAACTTTGTATGCAGCAGTGTTTTCAACATTGATATTAATAATAATATTAGAGTTTCTTGAGCAGCAAATCAGCATATTAGAATTATTTCTTGAAGAATCATGTGACACTGAAGACTGGAGTAATGATGCTGAGAATTCAGCTTTGCATCACAGGAATAAATGACATTACAAAATATGTTCAAATAGAAAACATTATTTGTAATATGTCACCTTATTACTGTTTTTAATGTATTTTGATTAAATAAATGCAGCCTTGGTGAGACAGTTCTTTCAAGAAACATGAAAAAAACTTCCCAACCCTAAACTTTTGGAATTTAGTGTATGACTAACATCATAACTTATTATGATCAGTATGTCTATCACAATACAACATATTGATATCCGTTAAGGTGACATCGCTTATACATTGATTACTAATTTTGTAGACTTTTTCAGATTTCTTCAATAATTTACACCAAATCAAACTAAAAAAATACAATATATACCAAACTAAGTAGAAAAACAGTGATGAACAGCAGCAAATAAATACGTCCTTACAAAAACACATAAAACTAAGATTCATCAAGATAAATTGGATTTCCTAATGCTTGAGAGAGTTCAGGAGATTGTGTTTGATTTATAGTCTCTAAAATTGTGTGCAAAATGTAATATGACATAATTAAACCAGCAATGGAGCGTTTTGTCATGATGCTGGTTGGAAAAATTTGCTTGTTACTGGAAAACCTAGAATATTTTGAAAACGGCTAATGAAAATGTAGATGTACTTTCAATTTCTCCCAACAAGACACACATCAGGAAAACAAATGTTTTATACATTTATGGGAGTGATTTATGGGAATTTTTCATTAAATTTTGGTTAATTTGATATTAATAATCACTGTTTCGTCTAGATGTGAATCCAATTTATCCATATTTCTATGCAAAAAGTGAATGCGATTGTTAGTATGCCAGTATCTGTTTTGAGTTTGGGACTGACTTGTGTAATTCTGACCACACACAAACAAAAAAATAATTTACAGGGTTCACCCCTGCATTTGAAAGCAGATGGCACTCTTGTGGCTATTGCTGACAGATCCTGGCGTGTGGTGATGCAGTCATTGTTTCCTTGAAAAAGAGGACTCCCATAAAGAAAAGTTTCTAACTTCCAAGAAAACACTTTGTTAAAGCAAATAAATGGGATTTGTCTCTCCTGCATCAAAACACACAGAGGCAGACTCTGTGAGCACCCGGTTTATCTTCTCAATCACCTTCCATTTTAGAAAGTGTCAGAAGTCAAGCGCTGCAAATCCTACGGAAGCGTTTCATTCGGCTTGAATTAATAGTCCCAGATCAGAGCCTACTCTTTCGTTGGCTGAGCTAATTAACATTTTGGAGCCTGATTATGCTGAGAATATGATGTATTCACCTATTGCTGATTGGTCAGCGATTGTTTTCATTGTCCCAATGTGAGTGAGACAATCTATTTACACAAGGGCTCCTTTTTATTTTGCTAATCGGGTAAAAGAGAGTAGGCGTACATGAGTGTATTGTGTGAGTGTGTGTGTGTTTTCAGGTACCGTGGCTGGTTAGTAAGGAGGGTGTGCTGTTTGCTGTTTGTATGGGGCTGTGAAGTTCACCCCAGCCCTGCTGGAGACAGACGGCACAGAGTCTACGGCAGCGAGAGGTGCGGTTCGCTTGAGCACTCTTCACTGATTAGATGACATGCCACGTGTAGAGAGAGGGAGAGAGCAGAGAGACATGCATTTGAGGATTGAGAGGCACTCCCTTGAGGCTCCCATTGAGATTAAATTCAGATTTCTCTCTCCTCTGTTAATATAGAAGATTGGTAGCCACTTAATCTATCATTACATTAGATTGCATGCAGAGATGTGCAAACCTAACTATTGTCAATGCTGACAGTACAAAGTTTTTTTTTTTAACTTTTTTGGCTGTATTTTCTTTTTGCTATATTTTTTATTGCACATAGAATTTCCATCCCTTTACATTACAGTTTTAAAATAAACTAATAAATTTAATATTTTATTTATGACTGGCAAATGTGCATTACAAATAAGAATACTTAATGCTTTTATACTTGAATAATTAAATCAAATTTTCACATTTGACAGATGTCAAGTTTGAGTAAATACATTTTTAAAATATGATTATTTAAATAAAATCAAATAGATGCTAACAATGAAAAATAAACATATGATTAATTTTTGAGTGTAAAATATAAATGCAGCATAAAGACCAGCCTATACTATGTGAAGCAAAATAGCAAACATGTTATAAATACATGGTGTGTCCAAACTTAAAGTTTCTATTATCAGCTATTTGTATTATCACTGCATGAAAATGAAAGCAAATTGTTAAATATTATTTGTAAATATTTAATACATAGTATTAGTAACTTAAGAAATTAAACATAATTTTGTCTTTTTTCTATTCTTTGTTAGAGTGAAGTTAAAATGTACAACAAAACACTGTGAACTCACAAAACTGTATTTCTTACTGTTAAAAACTATGGCTGTCAATAGAATAAAATAATTGCAATAGCATAAACCATTGTCAATGGAGTAAAATAAAATAATCTCAGAATTATGGATCCATCCTGAAACAGAATGCAAAATGTATCACAAATATCAAAATTAGTATATTAGTAACTTAAGAAATTAAACATAATTTTGTCTTTTTTCTATTCTTTGTTAGAGTGAAGTTAAAATGTACAACAAAACACTGTGAACTCACAAAACTGTATTTCTTACTGTTAAAAACTATGGCTGTCAATAGAATAAAATAATTTCAATAGCATAAACCATTGTCAATGGAGTAAAATAAAATAATCTCAGAATTATGGATCCATCCTGAAACAGAATGCAAAATGTATCACAAATATCAAAATTAGTAAGTGTGTTAGAAAATATAACTTTAAATAAATTTATCATATGTGAACATTTTACCTTTAATTGACCTAAAAATACATTTTTTATAAGCTCTTTTTCGAGTTCCTAGAAAGCGCTAGTTTGAAAACTCTTGGACTGGCCGCTTGGTTGCTTGAAAGTTCGATCTTAATGAAGCCCTGTATAAGGTCACTAGACTAGAACTGGATTTACCTGACCTTGATTGAATGTGTTTCTGAGGAGAGCATTCTTGCATTCAAAAACAGTTCAGCAGAGCACTGTTGGCCAATTGTGACCCATCACTACTGGAATGGCATTCATTTTAATTTAGCTGTCAAGTTCCGTATGCCACATTATGCCATGTTAGCTTTTCTCTTTGCTATTTACCTTGGTTCAACCCTGTTACCACACCCTCCGTCCATTCATCTAACTCAATTTGGGCCCTAACATTTAAATAACCTTTTATAGTCCTAAACGGCATTGGTGTGTTTTTCACTCTGGAGGCATAAGCGGTTTTGGTGTGTTTACATGGTGTTTATGTGATGATCCATCACACAATATCCCCTTTGTTTACTCTGTGGTCTGTTGTCCTGTGACTCTGTGTGTTTTTACCCAGAGTGAGGCAGGCTTTGATGACGGCATGTTCACCAGATGAGACCAAGGCGATGGAGCAGGTGATGCCTGAAGTCAGAAGTCATTTAGGCAGACTTTTGACCATCACACAGACCATCATCTCCCCCTGGCTACTCAGGTCTGAACACAATTCTCATTCTGAAAGCAAATCACCTGTTCATTCATCTGCAGTTCATTCAGCTGAATGTTTGTGGTGGATTTTTGGTTTTTGTAAACTTTAATAATAGAATGTTCAGCATTCCAAGTGTAACAGCAATTATGCCCCTTTTTACAATATGTAATATAAGTCTCTGGTGTCCCCAGAATGTGTCTGTGAAGTTTCAGCTCAAAATACTCCACAGATCATTTATTATATCATTTTGAAAATGCCTATTTTGAGTGGAAGCAGAAACACACTGTTTTTTGGGCCTGTCTCTTTAAATGCAAATTAGTTGCTGCTCCCCGCCTCCTTTTCCAGAATGGAGCTGCGCCATTACAGCTCTGACCTGCTAAAAACATCTGTTTTTGGTTCTGATTGTCATGATTATCACGCTGAAATCTGAGTTTAAACTTCTGATATGTGGTTTTCTGAGTGCACATCCGAAGCACACGGACAGAAAGCGGCTGTCACAACATGTGAGTACTAAACTAAGTTCTCAATCACACACAAGTTTAAGTTAAAAACACATGAGTTACAAAAAACAGTCCGTTATATCTGTGAACTGTTGGGAAATAAATTGCATGTTTATTTTAGATCTGTGTGGCAGCAGCAATATACATTAAATAAATGAATAAATCCACTGCTCTCTTGTCTCCTCTGAGGCTGGGACTCTAAATAGTGTTCTGTGCTCGTCTGTGCAGCCAAAGACCGAACAGTTAGCATGTTTTGCTCAAACTTTCGCCATGGCATTAGAGCTGGTACACCGTTGTCGCTTGCGAAATCAAAATGACTGGGTCGTTGGTGGAAACTTACAGATTAGGGGGGCGGTAATATTATAATGAGATCCCTTTGCCACATCACCAAGGGAGCGAAATCTGATGCGCTCGTTTTTTCAGACGCTGGCAGAAAAAGGCTTACCAAAACAAAGTTACTGAGTTAATCTTTTTCACGTTGGTTGGTAGATGCACCGGGGACCTGATTATAGCACTTAAAACCTGGAAAAGTCAGATTTTCATGATATGTCACCTTTAAATAGTCACACTTCTTTAGGTTTAAAAAATGACCCACATTGAAAATCTGAGATTTAAAATCCCATTTAAACCTGAAATTGAAGTTCAAGGAAATATCAAATGAAGAAATATTTCACCTCATGCATTTCTTGGTCACTAATCAAATAAGAAAACTTGTACAAATGAGTGCAGATGCTCAGTGTCACAAGTATTTAACTGCTTTTTTGCTGTTTGTTTGAGGTTGACTTCATGTGAGGTCACGAAAGCTGCATAACTGCACTAGATAATTACAGAGCGCTTATGAAGGGCAGAATGTCAGTGCAGCTTGCCACATCATGCCAGCTGTGCATCTGCATATAGATATTTTAACTTTTTCAACTGATTTCTCACTGAACTCTCTTTCAGGCTGGTGAGCTGGATGCTGCTGAAGTTCTTCAGTTTGATCTTCTGCAGTGTACAGGTCAACCTCAACCAGATGGCAGCTTTACATCGTGCCACACAACTGGTAACCACACAACTAGGCTTTATTCCTTCACCCCATTCTCTTATATAACCTGTTTTCCTCCCTGTAGGCATCCTGTGATTCATACATGACAATGCATGCTTTCATTCTTCCTGAATCTCATTAGCCTTTACTGCTTTTCTTCTTTCACCACAAATTTTCTTCAAGTTTCTCCTTTTTTATTTAGTTATTTTCTCCACATTTGCAGTGTTTTTCTATACCAAACTCAATTATTCTCGATTTTGCTGTATGATATTGCGATTTAAATATATGAAGCTGAAGGCTGCTGTCTATATCAAAATGCTCTTTTTGTGTGTGCCTCTTTCTTTCTCCTTCTCTCACCCTATTGCTCCATTTATCCGGTTTACACATTTATTTTTATTGCAGTCAGGTTTTCCACCTCAGGCTTTTGGTCACACATAACTCTTTATATGGAAGTAAAAGCACACTTTGAAAAGCTTTTTTGTACCATTCAATTGGTGCAAGTGCAATATGAAACAAAACATCACAGAACTGATTAGACCTCATCTGCTGTCTGATTTTATAACCAATTAAACATCCATCCCGCAACACCACCAGAAATCATCTCTTTGGCCTCAGTCCATGTGTGTCACTCCTGAAAATATTGAGCTCACCTGCAGATCAGATACTCACCGCCCACTCAGTCTAACTCCACAAAAATACAATTTGAAAGAATTCAGAATGTATAATGCAAAAATCCTATTTATTATCAACATTATTTCCTTGTTTTCCAGTAAAAATATTAAAGTATCCTTAAAACAAGCTATATACTTCAATTTCTAGATGTTTTTGTTCTGATCTCATGAGTGTAGATGGTTACTTTTATTGATAAAAATAACTATATTTGCGGCATTCACGTTTTTGCAGTGTTTTAGCAAAAGTATCAATCTATTTTGCTGCTCACCATGTTTCTGATATTGTAGTTAAAATAACCACATCTACAGCTAGAGCTTTACAGTACGTCTTTACCAGGGGAAAGAAGCTACGTCCACATAGAGGAAAATAATGAATCATGTTTAGCTATAGATAAAAATATTAGCGAATATAGTGCCGAATTACCATAAACGTTCCTGAGCGCTTGTTGTGTATAGCTCTGTTGCTTTGACTTGCTGCTTTAAAGAGGTCATGAACTGAGAAACCAAAATTCCCTCGATCTTTTGACATACAAGAGGCCATTGTACTATAAAAACATTCTGTAAGTTTTAGAACTCAGTCGTTCTTTCTAGTTCGTCTAAAAACTGGTTATATTGAGGCCAATCTGCCAAAATTACAGTTTGTGTAATGTACTACTCTATGATGTAATAATGTAGCTAAATACCGCCTCCGCAGAAGATAAACGCCTGCTTCTACATCGCTGCCTGTTTAGCCCCGCCCACCGATTTGCGCACATAGTAGGTCAATAACAAGAGAGGAAAACACAGGTTTACACAGAAACCAAACGATAAACTTTTATTTTTAATGAAGTTCCAGACCGCGTCGGTAAGAACTTGGCTATTGTTCATTTAATTTTACTGCGGATTTGTTTACAAACAAGGCACAATTTGACATGGAATTTTTAGAAAGATTGAAACTAAAAGACAATGCTGTGTGACCATATTGGATCCGATGTCGCACCACACAAGTGTGAGTAACTGTTTTTATTATGTGGTCACTATTGCTGTGTTATTACAGATAATTTATTATGTATTTTTCCTTTTTTACCCTAAATCACAGCAGCGTCCATCTATGAAGGATGCAGGCTGTCAAACACACATACACAACTATTAGCCAATCATAGCAGTGAGAATTTACTTCTGAGTCTACAATCTGCCACACCTATTCAAGCAGAGCATTCTGATGAGGGGGCTTAAAACATGACAGAAAATAGCCTGTTACTTCTAAATTGTGATGTTTTTTGATGTAGAAGTCTTGATAACATAAGTGGACCTCAAAACAGTACAAAATAAAAAATAAAGGAAGTCCATGACCCCTTGAAACCATAGAAACGGTAGGCAAGAGAGACACCACCTCCTGCTGTCACTTGTAACCACTGGTGTCACTGTTGGGCAGTGTCACTTAAATGGATGGTTCACCTAAAAATTTAAATTCTGTCATCATTTACTCAGTTGTTCCGAACAGTTGCCGGTAGCCATTGACTTCCATAGTATTTTTTCCATACTATGGAAGTCAATGGCTACCAGCAACTGTTAGGTTACCAACATTTTTCAACATATCTTCTTTTGTGTTCAGCAGAAGACCTGCTGAACACAAAAGAGAACAACTTGAGGGTGAAGAAATAATGACAGAATTTTTGGGAGAACTGTTCCTTTAAGAAAAAAAAGAATAATTTATACCATCTAATGTCACATTTTGTAATATTTGCCATATTTGTTGTGTCTGTATAAAAAAAAAAACTTCTGTTTTGCAACTGAAGTTTTTGCTGTGTGGACTCTAGGTATACATAATTTATGATTGTTTTATAAGTAGATTATTATGGGTAGAGTACTTGATTAGAGTTATGATGAACAATGTTGTGTTTGCTATAATAGGGTTATTGTAATCTTTAACCTGCTCTTGGGTCTCAATGTTTATATTAAATAAGGAGGCACCAGAAGTTCGGGGATATTAGCACACTTGGTACAAAGGGTCTGGAAACACAGTCTCAGAGCCATTTTCTGAAGTACAAAAACAGTTCATTTACAGGTTCATTTTCAACTATGTACTTACCGCTCAACTGTAATTCTGACTGCACTGAAGTGTCCTCTCATTTTGTCTGTGTGTGTGTGTGTGTGTGTTGCAGAAATATCCACTGGTCTATGTGTGTGTTCGGCAGAGCGGCATCGATCACGCTCTCATTTGTCTGACTCTTTTCTGCCACAACTTGAGGGTTCCCTACACCATTTACCCAGCCCACGTCCGACAAACCTGCCTAAGGTATATTTATACACACATTCACCCTGTAGCGCCCACAGAGGTCTAGTTTGTTTAGAAACCTTCTTAGCACATACCCCCACAGTTCACATCATTTCCTGCCCTCTACCAGTGTAAATTTACATCACAGCTCTGTTTGTGTCAGTAGCGCTGGTTTTGTTAAAAAGAAAGGTCTTGTTCATTAATTTCATACTAGTTTGGTGCAAGCACAGCAGTTTCTAACGCGCAGTGCACTTATTCATGGTTTGGTAAGTAATGAAACGTACAATTCTTCAAGAATCATGGCACAGTGTGCTGGAAACGGCAGTCGACCGCAGAGAGGGATTGGTGGGGGTAAATAGTTTCCTCCTGCAGGTAACGGAAGACTTAGACTCCAGGCCGCGGGGAGGTTTGTGCTTTGTTTACAAGGCTACATCAATAATTACTTTATAGCTGTTTATACAGATTACTGTGTCAGTAATTGTTAATGTACAGTATTTATGATATGCATCAAACTTATGGTGCAATGCTTGATTGATTGTCACTGGATGTGGCAATCAATCATATATGTGTGCATATATGAATACAAAATTTATAGTGTAGATCAGCTTAATTCACAGTTCCTTCATTTTCTGGAACAGAATTAGCAGTATGATTTGATCCAAGTTTCAGTGTACCATGAATACACTAGAAAAAATAAGAGTTGAAACTTTTGAAAGAAGAGTTAAATATATTATGTAGACATGTGGTTTAAACAACAGGAGATATTTTCAGCATTTCAATATATACGTAGTTTACTTATTTATTAACAGAAAGTGGGAGTATTGCTAAAAGTAAGTGGTTTAATTTTGTGAATCATTAATTTATCAGCAAGAAGAAATACAACTGATTTTAGATGATTTTTCACCTAATTTCGGTTTCCTTTTTTTATTGTTTAAATTGAATATAAGTGATTCATCCATCCATTCTCCAACCTCATCCTATGTAGGGTCGTGGGTATGTTATAGTTAGATTATTTTAATATATGAGTAATAACTTATTAATTTAAAAATGTTTACATCATCCTGTGGCCTTTTGGAAATTTGCTGAGACTGCCTAGTGATGTAGAAATTACAAACGCGTTCTCAAACGTGCTTTCCAGTGATGTGGATGGATCATCATACTAAACCACTCTGACAGTGTTTCTTGCAGTTGTGTTATTCAGTGTTAGTGTTGCTACTAAATTTTTATTTTAGAAAGCCTGTATTTTCGAAGCAAGCATCTGTGTGTCAGAGGAGAGACATAAAATGTGCTATAGCAAGAGAGAAGTGGCAAGTTGACACTTCTATAGAATCAAATGGTACTTTTCTCATGCTTGAACAAAGCATTATGAAAATTCTGTCATCATTTACTCATCCTCGCGTCCTTCTAAACCCATACGGCCCGAAATGGACAAGAAAGCACCACAGAAATGGCTCATGTGACTCATGCCCTATATTCAAAGTAGTGTTATGTGTGCGAGGAACTTGTCATCGGAATTAAACCTGACTGAACGAATAACTAATAAAAGTAGTAACTACTTAAACTAATAAAAAGACTTGTAGGTTTGAATTGGTCTAATGACACAATCAATCACTGAATAATGTGGTGCAATTATTGGCTTATTTAATGAACCACACTTTTTTCAAAGTATTAAAATAGTCGCTAATGGAATTAAGGAACCAGAAAGAGTAATATGAACTTGTTGATTTTGTGATTCCCATCCCTTTTTTCACGGTGCCAAGTTACTTCCCCAGACCTTTTGACAGTGAATTATGCTGTATTAAGTCTAAACAGTACAGTAGCAGAGTAGTGATAAATGGTCGTGTTATGTGGATGAATCAGTGCATCGTAAACACAATTTCAGGCACTTGCAAAAAGGCCTTATCCACTAAACAGCAGACTCAATTACCCGCGATTATGAGGGTCATGCATTAAAACCTAGCTGGTATTTATCAACATCGCTGTATGACACTTTTGTTGTAGCTGTTAGGAAGTGTCTTATAAAGTGCCATTATGAAATATGAGCTTGTCCTGCCTTTTGTATATTAAACAAAGCAGAAAATATACACGCATAATGGAAATCAGACATTAAACAAAAAGATAAACATTAGTATGTCAGTGCAATATTGCATAGCATACATAAATGAACAAATAAATAATATGTTGGTTGGTGGGGGGAGGGAGGGTTGAACTATATTTTATCAAGATTTTAACAAATATTTCAACAAAAAATATTTTTAGTTTGAAGGATTAGTTCCCTTCCATAGATGAAAACTATCTTTCGAAAGTTTGGGGTTTTCTGAAAGAAAAAATTTTACATTTTTCTTTAGCATGGATGTAACAATTTGATCAAAGTTGGCAATAAAGACATTAATAATGTCACTAAATATTCCTGCTATTCTTTTCAACTTTCTGTTAAAAAAAAGGCAACATCACTGTTTTCAACATTTCCTGAGCAGCAAATCAGCAGATTAGAATGATTTCTGAAGTATCATGTGACACTAAAGACTGGAGTAACGATGCTGAAAATTCAGCTTGGCATGACAGGACTGTTACATTTTAAAATATATTCAAATAGAAAACAGTTACTTCAGATTACATTAATATTTCACAATATTACAGTTTTTACTTTTACCCCAAAGCTTTGAACGGTAGTGTAATTCGAAACATAAAAGTAAGGCTTGCTCGTCCTGTGACTTAAAAGAGTTTATGATGATGACATTTCCAGAAAGTGAAAATAGTCAGTAGCCTTGCAGGTTTTTATGGTGCATTCTGGTAATTTCTCGGCAAGAAAAAAATTGCAGTTCTGGAGCTATTTTGATAGTAAATTGTACCAGAATTTGCTGAATCCCTGGGCAGTGCACTTACTACTGAACTAAGGGACAGATTGAAACACACCCTGTGAAATTCTGACCTTGTCTCTAAATAGACATCAGGGAAGAAAGTGCTGTGAAAGTGCAGTATATGGCCCCTTTAAGTCTCCTCTATGTTGTTATTTGTTGGATGAATAACCTAAAGGAATGTCCCATTAGTCACTGTTAATTGAGGCCGTTTTGTCTTCTCAGGTCCATCCTTCAGAGGCTGGGTGTCGTCTTGCTCCCAGAAGGCAGTGGCTCAGAGCGAGACGCTGAGATGGACAGCCTCTATTCTCCAGTCATGACCTCTGTAAGCCCCCACAAAGGCTGAGTGTGCTGTTCTGCTTGAATTGCCAAGATTCAGCATACGATAAAACAAGTGAAACAGACTGTCGCTTCAGGCGCTGAGCTGCTGGACCGTACTTAAGACGTTTGCGCAGACACACTGCTTTTGAATCCCATCGATACCGGTTTTAGTCTCGAGACGGACAATCACCCACGTTTTCGGGGTAGGTGAGGCTGCATTAGTAACCTGCCCTTGATGGGCGCAGCGGTTCCCATGACGATGGGGCACCTGCGGACTGCAGATGTTTCATTGGGAGGTTGCATGATTCGCTGAACCCATTACTCTGCCTCACTGATGCCTGGAGGTGGATAATAAATCTCCTCAGGCTCCAGATTTACTGTCAGAATCATACTGTTATCTGAGTTTCTTGAAGGAATGTTTTATTAGCCATTTACAAGAAATATTTACAAGAATTTGGACGTTGTGACTCAGAGGATTTGGCATAATCTGCATTAGGATCTTGATTGCAAGAAGAGCTGATATTAGTATTAATATGAAGGGCTTTGATTAGATATGTGCATATGTACGGCTTCTGACTGGCGTAAATGAACAGAGGAAATAATCTGTCATGCCTGGAATAGCATATGAGCTTATCAGGCTTCTCAAGATGGATTTGGGAGATATCTGGCTCAGTGTGTGTGTGACAGAGAGAGACAGTTAAAGAGATAGTTCACTCAAAATTACAAGTTTGTGATTTACGCACCCTTATATAATTCAAAACTCATATGACATACTTTCTTGCATGAATCACAAAAGGAGAAATTTTTGCAGAGCACTGACGCTGTTCTTTCTCATATTTGAAACGGACCGTGAGCAGGGACTGTTAAAGGGGTAGTTCACCCGAAAATGAAAATTGTGTCATTAATTACTCACCATTATGTCGTTCCAAAACCATGGATTTTAAGAATTTAAATGAGACCGGAGAGATTACTGTCTCTCCAGTCAAAGTCTTTTCCACCACAACTTTGATACTTCTAAAAGGTCATAAAGTTATTGTAAAAGTAATCCATATGATTTAAACCGTTTAATCCAAGTCCTCTGAAGAATTATGATGGCTTTTATTCACATATATACATTAATCAACGCATATACATAGAGCACATCAAATATGGAAAACAGAAGCTCAGCTGTACTTCCCATCTCATTGTTTCTTGTGAGTTGAGCACATTTGGACAACAAATTTTGGTTTCATTAAAAATATTTTCATGTGTGTTTTGAAGGTTATCAATGTGAAGATGTAGTAAGTAATGACAGAATTTCCATTTTTGGTTGAACTATCTCTGTAATAGTCTATCAGCAGTCAATTTATATATTATTACGGAGACAACAACAACAAAAATTATTTAGTGAAAATGAATAATAGCTAGATGAACACGAGTGTGACCAAAAATTCATCATGGACTCTTGCACATGTAGAAATAAATCATATCACACTAATGCATTTTCCTCACACTTGTATGGTGTTTCACTTAATACAGATTCGAAGCACACAAGGACCAAAGTCCTATTCATTAATTGAAATGAAGCTGTTAATAAATTACTAAAATTGAAATAAATAAGAAATAGAAAACTAATCATGACAAACACAAAACTATTATCTAATACCACAACTAAATTAAAGTGAAACATTTAAATATAAAATTAAAAGCTAATTCAAAATTAATAATTTAATAGTAAATAATACTAAAATAACACTGGTTTGAATACGCACAATCATGTTTAAAATTTGAGAGCTAGGTTTTAATAATGACTTACAGTTCAATCTGTTCCTCGCACACATAACACTACTTTGAATATAGGGCATGAGTCACATGAGCCATTTCTGTGGTGCTTTCTTGTCCATTTCAGGCCGTATGGGTTTAGAAGGACGCGAGGATGAGTAAATGATGACAGAATTGTCATAATGCTTTGTTCAAGCATGAGAAAAGTACCATTTGATTCTATAGAAGTGTCAACTTGCCACTTCTCTCTTGCTATTGCACATTTTATGTCTCTCCTCTGACACACAGATGCTTGCTTCAAACATACAGGCTTTCAATTAGATTTTTATTGGACTGATTTTGCAGATATTGCAGTTCATTTTTTCTGCTTTATATCTCTTCCTAATCATAAAGCTGTCCAGCCTCTCTGTTTTCCAACAAACATTTTTATCCATCATTTCTCCTCTTTTGTTCCACTCCACAGTTTATTGGTGAGCTGTTACGAGAGGGGGCCGCAGTCAGCGTGGGCATCTGTGCGTCCGGAGGTCACAGTGGGCAGTGGCTAGCGCGTGTACATCAGGCCATCAGTGACGGTCTAGTGCCTGATGTTAGCGTCGTGCCAGTGGCCATTTCCTATGATTGCCTGCCACGCTATTTTACACGTCCACAGGTGACGACCTTAGTATTAACAACACACACTCCATTCCATAATGACCTCTATCAGACCATCACCATTAGCGCATGGGGCTATTAAACAAACCAATAAACAAATTACAAACACAAGTAGATTCACATTTAAATGACAAAGGCAAACACAATAATGGTGCTCATAAACACAATGATCATAGTCTTTGCCAAACTCTTAACTCAGTATTAAACTTTGTCATGTAACCTAGTGTTACAGACTTGAGTGATGCCTAAAAACATGCAGCTCGTTTTGGAAAGGTGTGCTATTGCTTATCAACCACACAGAACACTTCAGCAACCTTATCATTGTCTTAACAACCACAGAACACAATGACAACCACCCAAAACAACTTAGCAACCACCCAGAACTCATTAGCAGCAACCTAGCATTGTCCTAGCAACCATCCAAAACACCCTAGCAACTGCCCAGAACACCCTAGTGACTACCTAGCAAACAACACAAACAACATTATCCTAGCAACTATACATAATACCCTAGTGACCACCCAGAACTCTGGCAACTCTGTTCACCCTAGTGAACACTAGCAATGTTTTAGCAACAACCCAGAAACAACCTAGCAATGTCCTAGAAAAATTATATTGTACTAGCAACCACACAGAACACCTTAGCGACCACCCAGAACTCCTTAACAAACACCCAGCTTTATCCTAGCAACTTACAGAACACACCAGCAAACATCTAGCATTGTTTTAGCAACCACACCAAACTCCCAGAACACCTTAGCAACCACCTAGCAATGTCCAAGTAAGCAACATTATTCTAGCAACCGCCTAGAACACCCTAGTGACCACCTAGAAATGTCTAGGCAACCACTCAGAACTTCATAGCATCCGCCTAGCAATGTCTTAACAACCCTCCAGAAAATTTTAGCAACCAGCGTTTAGCAGCCATTAACAACCAACTTTTTTTTTAGCAACGTCCTAGAAGGCAACTTTATCTTAGCAACCTTACAGAACACCCCAGCAAGAACTTGGTTCTTGGTTAGCAACCATCTATCCTTAAAACACCCAAACGACCACCTAGCAATGTCCTACCAAATATCCAGTATTGTCCTAGCAACCACACAGAACACCTCAGCAACCAAACAAATAGCAGTGTCTTAGCAACCACCCTGGACATTCTAATGACCACCTATCAATGTCCTAGCAATCACTTAGCATTGTCATTGTCAACCACAGAATATCATGACAACCACAGAATACCAAAACAACTTGGCGACCACCCAAAACTCGTTAGCAACAACCTTGCATTATCCTAGTAACCACCCAGAGTACTGTAACAACTACCTAGCTTTATCTTAGCAACCATACAAAAGTGGCCCACCCTATTGACCACCTAGCAAACAACACAAATAACATTATTCTAGCAACCACACAGAATACCCCAGCAACCTCCTAGCATTGTTTTAGCAACCACACCAAACACCCAGCAACCACACATAACACCATAGCGACCACCTACCAATGTTCTAGAAAGCAACATTATCCTAGCAACTGCCCAGAACACCCAAGTGACCACCTAGCAATGTCTTAACAACCACCCAGAACTTTTCAGCAAACACCCAAAGCACTCTAGCAACCACTTAGCAACATCCTAGAAAGCAACATGATCCTAGCAACTACCCAAAACACCCTAGCATCCACCTAGCAATGTCCTCTCCCAAACATCCAGCATTGTTCTAGCAACCGCACAGAACACCACAGAAACCAAACAAAGAGCAATGTCTTAGCAACCACACAGAACACTCTAGCAACCACATATCAGTGTCCTAGCAACCACCCAGCAAAATCCTAGAAAACAACTTTATCCTAGCAACCTCACAGAACACTTTAGTCACCACCAGAACTCCTTAGGAACCATCTATCATTATCCTAGCAACTTCCCAAAACACCATAACAACCACCGCCTAGCAGTGTCCTACCAAATATCCAGCATTGTCCCGGCAAATTCACAGAACGCCACAGCAACCAACCAAAGTGCATTTTCTTAGCAACCACCTAGCATTGTCTTAGCAACCACCCAGAGCACCCTAGCAACAGCATAGCAACACCCTGGTAGCCACCCAAAGCAAGCTTTTGAGTCGGGTCAGGAGCAGTGTGTAGGGCGTCCAGCCATGTGTAGGTAATTAAGGAACACCCTAGCAACAGCCTAGAACACCCTAGCAACCGTACAGCAGTGCACAATAAACCACTCAAAAGTCTTGCATAGGAATTGCACTTGTGTAGTTTTGTATTTGTAATTCTTGAGGTGAACTGATTCATTACATGGTAATAATCAGCAATATTCAGATAATTAAAATCAGATGGCGTGTTTTTTCATTTTGATTTGATGATTTTTAATATGCAGCTTGTGAGATGTGTTTTCTAACTCTGCAATGGTACAGACTAGAATGTGTCGACTCAGAGAAAGATAAAGAGAAATCTATATTATTGTGTGCATCCATCTCAAATAGACGCCAGTTATCATAGTGATTACAGCCACTAATTTCTCCTCTAATGGCTCTTCACCATTAGAGCTCCGTGAAGTTTTCTCGAATTAGATCCAAGTCATTTGATCAGCCTGCGTGAGTGGCAGCGTTTGAGTCAGTGTGTTTTCATTTGTTTGTGTGGTCTGGAGGCCGGCCTGATGTCTGCTCTGCGGTTTGCCATCTCCCTGCTGAAGGGTGATCACAGAGGAAGTGTTAGGATCCATTTTGCTCAGGCTTTCTCTCTGAAGGTAGGACTCACACACTCAACCATCCATACACGCATAACAATTATAGTTTCATACAAATGCAGACCCTTAACGCAGCTGTTCTCAGCTGGTGGGCGGCCGGACTGTTCTGATAGGGTCACAGATGGCAGGGGAATAATAAATGCAAATAATACAATGCATCTTGCAATGTAATTATACATAGAGTAAGTATTGTGAAACAAATGGGCTAATTAACATTAAAAGGAGGAGAATAATTCATAAACTTGCAGATTGATCCAGTGTTTGGTAATATTTGGGTTTTTGCAATACCACAATTTGAGTAGTTGATATCAATACCTTGAATTTCTTGAAAATATGCAATTAAACACTACTTTAAAAAGTTAAACATCAATATAATTATTAATAAATTACATAAAACAATGGATTATAGCTTTTAAATACTTCGATAGACTTTTCATATACATAGACTACTGTTCAAAAGTTTGGGGTTGGTACTTTTTATTAATACAATTTTAATACAAATTATCTCAAATAAATGCTGATTTTTTTTTTAGCTTTGTTCATCAAATAATCCTGGAAAAAAAAGCAGCACTATTGTTTTCAACACTGATAATAATAAGACATTTTTGATCAGCAAATCATCATATTAGAATGATTTCTGAAGGATCATGTGACACTGAAGACTGGAGTAATGATGCTGAAAATACAGCTTTGCATTACAGGAATTAATTACATTTTAAAATATACTGATTGAAAAAAATTGTTTTAATTGTATTAATAACTTACAATATTACTGTTTTACTGTATTTTGATCAAATAAATGTAGCCTTGGTGAGAATAAAATAATTATTTCAGTAACACTAAAAAAAATGCACCGACCCCAAAACTTTTGAATGGTAATGCAAGTAAAGATTTCTTCATTTTCTCAAGTAGCTGTTTAAAACAAGTGGAACAGGAAGTGATAAAATAAAGAATCTGGAAACAAATTACAAGCAATAGGACAAATATGCAAAAGAAAACTTATTATTGGCATAGTCATTTCCCTAGATATAATACTGATTGTGTAGAATCATGGCTTTTCTCTTTATTGATGGTTTATTAAAGCTACTAAAGTTATCCATCCATCCAAGTGAGACATTTTGTTTTATATTATAGCTGTAAATGACAACTATTTACACTGCAAGGCCTAAAACACAGATTCACAATTTTGTTACTAAACTCTGTTTCTGAAAACTACATTGTTGGATCTATGCAGTTTGTGGTAATATTAGTCAATTTCATGTATAAATTTGTTTACTTGCTGTAGTAAATAAATCTAGTACTGCCACTATCGCACTGACTCTTCATTTGATGTACTGTGAGTCTGTTCGACACATGCAAGCTCCCAAAGATCAAACTCTTGCACTTTAATAATCGTTACTCTATGTATGAGGCTAAGCTTTGTGTATGTGTGTGTGTTTGTTTTATTTTAGCTTCAACTACAAGTATGGCCGTCATGTCTACCAGTCTGGTGTCCTGTTTGCTGCTCCACAAGCATCGCAAGGTTTTTTTTTAAAAACTCCTTTGGGGCTTTAAATCATATTCATATATCACTTTTTTAAAACTTTTTTATTAAGCAAATTAAGTAGTATCCATGAAAACTAAGGTTAATAGTTGGCCTCTATTGGTGCTGTGCAGTGATATACAGTGCCTTGCAAAAGGCTTTTTTTTTCACGTTTTGTTTTGTTGCTGCCTTATGTTAAACTGCTTAAATTACTTTTTTCCCCACATTAATCTACACTCCATACACCATAATGACGAAGCAAAAACAGAATTGTCACAATATTAAAAATTCAAAAATTCTTAGTTGAAGCACCTTTACAACCTCAAGTCTTTTTGAGTATGATGCGACAAGCTTTGCACATCAGCATTTGGCTATTAACTGCCATTCTTCTCCTCACCTCTTCACCTCTCAAGCTCTGTCAGGTTGGATGAAGGCAGACACACATTTTGAGCCTGAGGTTCTGAATGCTCTGGACTGGGTTTTCATTAAGGCTATCTCATATATTGAAATGTATATGTAAATGCTAATACACACTACATAAATATCGTCACGCAATGCTAATGTTGTTAACATTAACATTTTGAGAACAAAGTATAACAATAATAATAATTTGCATGGTTTGATGTGATATGAGCTAAGCAATCGTTAGACTTAATCACCATTGGTAGTGTGATGTATTGTAATGCTTTTTTTCTCAGTTGGTCAGAACAAAAGTAGCAGAATTGTTACTTACTTGCTAAGATGACAATATCTGGTGAAAAGTCTTATTTGGGTCATATTTCCAAGATGTAGGCTAGAATCTGTGATGAAAATAATTCCGCAAATTACTGCAATTGCAGGTTTCAAACCGAGATAGCGACAAAGAGGCAAAATTTACAGACTGCAGCTTTAAAATACTTATTTCAACACAAGTGTTTATGTGCTTTATGTATTAAACAATGTTGCATTAAAGTGTCTACACTGTGTATTAATAAAAGCCTAAACATACTGTATATTGACCACTACATTAAATTAAAAATAATTTAATACCAGCTCTATTAACCAATAAAAATGACTGGAACCCTTTTATAATAGTACATTAATTGGTTTATTAATCCTCCACTGGTTGTAGATGATTCATACAAGCATCAAACATGGTTCTGCTTGCTTTAATGACACTGCTAATGATTGTAACGATCTTCTTCCTCTTTCTCAGGGTGTGCGTGTATCCGTGCTGTGCAGGGACATCTGTTGGCTGCTGGAGGAGGTGTTGTTTAGAAACACAGACGTGGGTTATGGTGGCTCTCTGGTCGGGCTGGTGCATCACGCGCTCTCTCTGCTCCACCCGTATCTGCTTCTGGCTGCAGCTCCGCCCACAGGAGAACCCATCATCGCACCCCGGCCCGATCCAGACTCTCTGCTCATACTGAGCCAGCACTGCGATTTGCTCACTCACGTCTTCATACACGAGGCTGTAGGAGGTAGGCAGAGTGTGTTGAAGATTGGGTGGAGTCAAGGAAACTTGCTGTTGGCAGGCATCATGCACCTGTCTTTTTTGAGGGGGCATCAGTGGGAGGTCTGGCTCATTTGGTATACGTTGGCAAGATAAGACATGATGACTAAAAATAAACCTTGTTAGTTCATTTTATTATGTTTAAGGCATGTTAGTCTATTGCTGCTTTTTAGGTTAGCAAGCAGTGTAAAATCGTGACCTAATATTAAAGGGATAGTTCACCCCAAAATGAAAATTCTGTCATTAATTACTTCACCCTTATGTCATTCCAAACCTGTAAGACCTTTGTTCATTTTCGGAACACAAATCAAGATATTGTGCGTCATGATACTCTCGTGAACATGTGCCAAAGACTGACATGGAAGAGAAGAAATTGTTGAATAAATTCGTTATTTCTAGTTTACTTTGGGCACAAAAAGTATTCTCGTAGCTTCATAAAATTACGGTTGAACCCCTGATGTCACATGGACTATTTTAACAATGTCCTTACTACTTTTCTGGGCCTTGAACGTTTCAGTTGCGTTGGTGTCTATGCAGGGTCAGAAAGCTCTCGGATTTCATCAAAAATATCTTAATTTGTGTTCACAAGATGAATGACGGCCTTGTGGGTTTGGAACGACATGAGGGAGAGTAATTACAGTTTTTTTTACAATCGCTAGGACACATTTCTCAATACTTTGGTCACTTTTTCAAAACTTCACACAACCGTATTCGATGTGGGCTAAACTGTATCATTTGTCTTTGCTTTGGCACAAAGTGCATTCAATAACTACATCATTCAAATGACAAATTATTTTCTCACTCAGACAGTAACAATGGCAAAACTCTATGTACCTACAAGCACAAGTTTGCACCTGTTTACATACACTTTACAAAACTGTTAAGCCTAAATTCCAAACCTAACATAATACAAAAATGAATCAGACATAAATTTGCTACATTTCTACAGTAATACCATATTGAAATATATTCTGAATTTAAAAACAAAACAAAACAAAGCAATTTGATATAGTTGAAAACCTACACGTGTTAGTTTTTCAAGTTCATTACCATCTATACAAAAGGGGAAAACTTACAGTAGGAATTATTTTGCACTGTAATGCAAACATGAACTATGTAACATATACTGCAGTGAATTATAAGCAATAGATAGTGTTGATCTTGTTTTGTAAAGGAATTTTACAAAAGCAAACATTTTCAAAAGCAAACATTGCATAATGCTATCTGTTGTTAGTGTTTTAGGTCAGTGTTTTATGAGTGACAAAATTAGTTTGAAAGCCTTTGCTAGTATTATGGAAGAATTAGTTGATTAGAGACGTGTATGAAATGTTCTGGTAGTTTTAGTGCATTTTGAATGTAAAATTAACTGCTGTGCCAAGCTGAAATTTGGTTAAGAGAACTGTGTGAAGAGTTTTGAAAAAATTACTTGGGTATTGAGAAATGTGTCCTAACTACTGTAAAAAACTGCGATGACAGAATTTTCATTTTTGTGTGAACTATCCCTTTAAAGGGGTCATATGATGCGATTTCAATTTTTCCTTTCTCTTTGGAGTGTTACAAGCTCTTGGTGCATAAAGAAGATCTGTAAAGTTGCAAAGACTAAAGTCTCAAATCCAAAGAGATATTCTTTATAAAAGTTCAAAGTCAGCCACACCTACCTAAAACGGCTCGTTCTAACACGCCCCCACATGTCTACCTCACTATGTGGGAAGATTTGCATAATCCAGCCCAAATGTTCACGCAAAGAAAGAAGGTGTAACTTTTATTCTCGCTTTAGTATTGTTGACGCTGCAGCCATGTCGTAAATACTGCCTTGTGTGCTTCGTTGTGAAAGCGAAACTACTTTGTTTGGTCTTCCAAAAGAGGACGATATCTGCTTCGTCATGCCTAGAGCTGATCTGTGCTGGTTGCTGAGGAAATACATCAACTTTCACCGTGGACAAAGCGGAGTCCAGCCCGGGGTCGTCACATGTGGTTGCCACTCATTCGTCGCATCCGCCGGGCATGCCGTTCTCGACCCCACCGACTCAGCTCACTCTATCCCGGCCTCAGCACACGCTAAGCCGGGGCTTCCCCTCACGCTAGGCCGCTGTGTTTTTCGTTGTGTCTTCCAAAAGAGGACACGACTACAAATCAGTGGTTAAGTTGTATTTACAACACTGTTCCAGAACAGTTTAACCCAAATATCCAGATGTGTGCAGCACATTTTATGGAGGACTGTTTACTGATCCTGGGAGAGTAACGTTAGACTACAATGCTGGCAGTTCTGACTCGCGTAAGTACGTTTTCATTTAAAGGATTTGCCACTGGTGATTCAAACGCGAGTTTTGAGCAGTGTAGAGTAGCACTTGTTGTTTGTCATTTCTCCGATCACAAATGCAGACAGAGTTTTATGTTTACGCGGCGCGATGCAATGCAACGCAACGCGTAAAAAGACAGTATAAGTCATTATAATCAGTAATTATGTCCACACTGGATGCAACAAATGCCTCGTTTGTAATGGGTTTTAATGTTTTTGTCTCGTCGCTCTGGCCGGGACACGGCATCAACAGTATGTGAGGGGCGTAACATTTCCGTCTCACGCTTGAGGTATTCGGCCAATCACAACGCATTGGATAGCTGGCCAATCACAGCACACCTCGCTTTTTCAGACTGATGAGCTTTGTAAAAATCGACATGTTTCAAAAAGGCGGGGCATAGAGGAGAAACAATAATGTACAGTATGTGGAAAATAATGTTTTTTTTTAACTTTAAACTGCATAAACACATTTCATTACACCAAATACACAAAATAATGTTCGTTTTAGCAACATCATATGACCCCTTTAAGGCTTGGTATTGATAGAGATTTTCCGATTTGAATCTGATTCTTTTGGATATGTTTCAGTTATAATGTCCAATTTGTATATACTGTATACTCCTGTTGAAAAGTTTGGAATAAGAAAGATGTTTGAATATTTTTGAAAGTCTTTTATGCTCACCAAGGCTGCATTTATTTGATCAAAAATACAGTAATATAGTGACAAAAACAGTAATAATAATACTTTTTCAAATTTATTTTATGTATAATATATAATAATTGTATTAAATATTATTGCAATTAAAATGAACTGTTTTCTATTTTAATGTTTACATTTTTAATTTATTCCTGTGATGCAAGCTGAATTTTCAGCATCATTACTCTAGTCTTCAGCGTCACATGATTAGAAATCCTTCTAATATGCTGATTTTCTGCTCAAGAAACATTTCTTACAATTTTCACAGTTGAAAACATGTTGTGCTGCTTAATATCTTTTTGTGGAAACCATGATAATTTCTTTCTTTAAACAGCATTTATTTGAAATAGAAGTCTTTTGTAATATTACAGGTGTCTTTACTGTTATTTTGCATCAGTTTAATGCTTCCTTGCTGGCTAAAATGTATTTATTTTAAAATAATCTTAAAATAATCTTGGGATTATAAAAATCAATATTGAGATAATTCAAATGAAGATAGCACAAAATAAGAAACTTTATATTTTTACCCAGTATTTAATATTACCCAGACAATTGTTATAACTTTTCTAATAAAATTTGACAATTTTTTTAGTTTAAAGATCTGCAGAAGATTCAGATTGATTTGACTCAACCAAATTTACATCAACCAGTGATTATTTTACACAAACACTTATTTTACCAACAATAATTGTGGAACTTATCCTTTAATAATACAAGATAAAAGTAACTTTTGTAGACAAAAACTCCACTTGGCTCAATAATCTGAGGGGGCACGTGCCCGGTTTGAATTGGCCTGCACTTCAGGGTGTTGATATGTGTTTGGGATGAGTCACGTTTGCACCACAGCAGGGTTTATTGACAGTGCTAATACTGAAGGTGTGTGTGTGTGTGTGTGTATAGCGTGTGCAGTCTCAGCCATGCTGAGTGGGGTTGTAGGCTGTGGAGACCTGGAGTTTGATGTTGTTCTGGGCCAGGAGGAGCTGACAGAGAAAAGCCTCCAACTCACACATCTCCTGTCACCCGGCTTCATACCGGTGAGTCTCACTCAAACACACACAAGGACATCTCACTATGACGTCTATAATCACCTTGACGCTAGTAGTGATTCATACAGTCATCTTGCTTGTCCGTCAGTCAGTAAAAAAACTCATTTATTTTTCATACATTCTCCACATTTCTATCTCACGCTTCCAATCGATCAGTTCCCCATCTGTTCCCTTTATTATTCTCTCTTGATGTCTAGTTAGCCCTTTCAGGGGTTCTTCAGTTGCGGGAATAGCATGTGTAATTATTGCCGGCACATTTTACACTTGCATCAGCAAATAAACACTTGTAAAGCCTGTAAAATGTCAACAAGAACAAAAACACTACACAACTAATTATCTCTCCTCCTGTCTATCTGCACATATCTGTCTGTCTGTCCATCCATTATATGTCTGTCTCTTTCTCTTAGCCGTGTCAAACCGCTCATGGCTTTGCTCTTGATGTGGTGGACAGCATGGTGCGCTGCGGGGTTCTTGTTATGGAGGAGGTAAGACACCTGCATTAACAAACAAACACACACATGCGTCCTCACACATGTAGCATTTTCAAAATCCCTGGTCATCGAAATGGTTTTTCAATGGCTGAACCTAATATTCTAGAGAATAGAGTAGTTATCATATACAACAGCGTATTTAATGCAAATGTATTATTATATTATTTTGGGAATCATGTTTTCGAATCAGAATCAGAATAAGCTTTATTGCCAGGTATGTTTTCACATACGAGGAATTTGTTTTCATGACAGAAGCTTCCGCAGTGCAACAGAAATGACAGCAACAGTACAAAAACACAGATAATAAAAGAATAAAAATAAATAAATAGAACAAGTAAACAAGGAATAACAATATATATAAGATATTTGCATGTTTATATAATTACATATTTGCATTTATATTTGAAGAAACATGGACAGATGATGAATACTTTCAATCAGATAAAAAAGATCTTGTTTCTCTGCTTTATAAGTGTTAAACTCGTTAACGAAAACTATGACAAAAATTCAACCTTTTTTTCAATAAGAGTAAAATGAAGACGAGACGTCACTGACATCATTAAATATTAACTGTGACTATATCGAAATGCAGTATTGTAGATAAAAAACACAAAAATGTAGTTTATAAAATAAAATTAATAAACAAAATAAATAGAAAGAGAAACTTTTGAGTTATCATTTTTCAAAATGTAAGTGTTTATATTTCTGATATTATAATAAATCAGGAAACAAGATGAGATGAAAATAAACCGTGTGTACAGTATGCTTATAGGTGAAAGTGCAATAATTCTCCACAATCATGAACAGTATAATTTTGAGCAAAATAATTAATTATCAGTTTAACCATTATACAGCATGACTAAAACTATGACTGACTGACTATATTTTAATTAGTGCTATCAAACGTTTAATCGCGATTAATCTCATCCAAAATAAAAGTTTTTGTTTACATTATATATGTATGTGTACGGTGTATATTTATTATGTATATATAAAGACACACACATACAGTATATACTTTAAAATTATTTACATGTTTATACATTTATATATGCATATTCTTATATTTTATATTATATATTATATATAAATATATTTAATATATAAACATATTATTCTTAAATATATACATGCATGTGTTAATAAATATACACACACAGTATATACACTATGTAAACAAAAACTTTTATTTTGGATGCAATTAATCGCGATTAATTGTTTGACAGCACTAGTTTTAATAGACTAAAAATAGACTGAAATTCACAGTCTTTTAGTCAACTAAAACTTGTCTAAACAAAAAATAAAGGATAAGATGACTAAATGTGATAAATCCCAAAAAGGACATTTATCACAGGACTAAAATGTGACTGTTTTAATAGACTGAAATTCACAGACTTTGTCGACTAAAATTTGACTAAACAAAAAACAAGATAAGATGACTAAATATGATAAAACCTAAAAAGGACATTTAACAAAACTAAAAAGACTAAATTAAAAAAGAGCTGACAAAAATAAAAACTTTTATTTTGATACTCTCACTTTAAAATATGGTAATAGAAATTACAAGTGAAAAAATGGGTGAAAATTCAGTTTATAAGGGATTATTTGAAAGATGAGGAGTGATGTCAGGATTTAAAGGACCAGGTTTTATATTATTACAGATTGAAATGGAGCATGACATAAAATGTCAGACAATGATTATTTTTAGCATCATTGATAAGGCTGTTGGTAGTTTTTTTGGCACTGACAGAAGGGAAACTACAGCTTCTGTTCCACTCGGCCAAAGCAGCACACTTATCAGCTGATACCAGTAATCTTAAAATAGAGATATGAATAAAAACTTGAGATAGATACAGACCTGCCAACCTGTATGCATTTTGCGTAGCGGCTACGCATTTTGACCTCAAAGTACACTGGTACGATTTGTCACTCTAAACTACGCAAAAATCTAGTGACGCCTCTGTCCACTAGAGATGGGCGATACCCCTTATTTTGTTTTCGATACGATACTGATATTTTTCAAGGCAGTATCGTCGATACCGATTCGATACTTCTGCACTAAACTTTTTTAAATTATGAAATTTATTAAATTATTAAATTACTAAGAGTAAAATGGGTAATGAAAACCACTTAACTTAGTTTAAAACGCATTTTAACCCGTTTAATCCCAAATTTTTCCCAGACACGAAAATATCCAAATGATGTGTCATTAGTAACCCTTTGAAATAATCAATAATTTTATTTTATTTATTTTTTCGAAAAGTGTGTGAAAATTTGTATATCGATACTTCGGATCGATACGCCCATCCCTACTGTCCACGCGCAGTATTCAAAACAAGCAACAGAAAAAGATGAAGAGTTCAACCAATCAGAGCGTTTTTTAGGGGGGGGGGGTTGCATTTAAATAGTTTCTGTGTTTTATTTCTCTCCTAGTAGCCTATAGTTTATAGTTTCAGTTCAAAGCGGCTCACGCTCGCCCCGTCAGATGCTCTGACAGAAAGGCTGTGTGTGAGGCTGACAGAGACGCTCTGTTTAATGTGTTTGAGATGTGCCGTTTTCCTTAATGCATAACTTACATTTCACAGGTATATTCTCCATCTGTAAATGTTAAAAAAGCCATTTTGCTGTCAGAAGTGCATGAGCTTTTGCTTTGAGATTCTCCGCTAAACTCCACAGACTTCATTTAGAAGATTTTTTTTGTTTTTTGATTTAATGCATAACTTACATTTCACAGGTATATTCTCCATCTGTAAATGTTAAAAAAGCCATTTTGCTGTCAGAAGTGCATGAGCTTTTGCTTTGAGATTCTCCGCTAAACTCCACAGACTTCATTTAGAAGATTTTTTTTTTGTTTTTAGATTGCAATGTTACAATGTAATGTGATTTTACCCCTTTATGGCACATAATATATGCCTACATGCTTACATTCACTTTATTTGTTTAATCCAAATACAAAATACAGAGATATATATCTACCGTATACCGTAAATCAGCCCAAAAATACAGAGATATTAATTATTGCTCATATCGCCCAGCCCTATACAGAAGTGTACTGGAGTTTTTTTTCTTTCCTTTTTTAAATAGCATTAAAAAATAAATAAATAGCAAAAATTAACTAAACAGTTACGGTAAACTGTAAACTCTTTACCCCTACTCTACCCCCCGCCCGCCACGCTGATGGTACTCAAAAAAAAATGTCCACGGTTGGCAGGTCTGTAGATATATAAATGCAGAGACACTTTTTTTAGCCTGGACAATATACAGTATCACACCCTCACAAATGTAGATTTTCTTAAGTTTTCAATGTCAAGATCAAAACAACAAACAGAGAATTCACAGAGACGTAGCTAAAAATACAGTTTTCACTCCACTGCCCAGACATCTAGCAAGCTCTCAGACTCAATCTAATCTCTGACATGCTGACCGTTCAGTCTGTGTCCATTTATTTTCAAGTGCCACCACAGTTTTCAGCTGACTGATTCACAAACACCCACAGACGTGAAAGCTATTTTTGTTTGTCTGTGGTTAAAGGTCATTTCAACCCTAAACTGATCATTTTGCAGCTTGTTTGTATGCGTCTTTAGAGATGTGAACTCGTTGTTTGTGTGTGTACATAGGTTCAGAAGGATACACCGGTTTGTGACTTCATGAAGAGGCAAGGTGTGTTGTCATGGGCTGCTTCAGACGATCCTGACCAGAGCAGCGATTCAGACTGTGAGGAACCAGACGCACACTCTTATAAGGTACACAAACTCACATACAGGTTTAATAAAATATAGACAGTTATCATCCAGAAAGTTTTGTTTATACATTCAGAGTGTTGTTGGATTTGTTTATAATCATATATTCAGATTCAGAGTACTCACAATCTTTGAACACTTTGGATACAGAGTTCCAGCATGTTGAGAAACACGCACAAACACTAACATGCAAACCTCAGACACAGACAGAAAAAAAAGACTTAAAATTAAGACAGAGAGTTCAGAGATGCTGCTCTTGAAGTCTGGTGTTGCGCAGTATCTCAGTATCTGTGTGATGAATTCAGCACAAAGAGAACAGGAAGGGAATGTCAATGGCATGAGTTTGCAGGAGAGAAGCTGCTGTGGATTGTGTCTTCCCTTGCATCAGAACCTCAAGCAAACATGTAGAATGGATTTTTTTCTTCTGGATTGGAACACTTTATTACAATTAATTTATTTGTTGATAATATCTATGAATTTTATATTTTTATTACATGTATGGAAAATCTAATTATACATTAAACAAATCATAGATATACAAACTTTAAAATAATACATATTAAGAACAGAAAATCATGTAATATCATGTAGCTTTTAAGTTGGTAAACTATTTCACTGATGAAATGGTCAGAGCAGCGCTGACAACATGTTTCTGTGCACGTGTATGTTTCTGTGTGTGTCCTTACTGTTGCGTGTGTGCATTTGTATGGGAGAGTGAGCAGGAGAAAGAGTAATACAATTTAATTTTGTGGCAAAAACATGGAAATAATTTGTCATTTTTATCTTGTTGTTTACTATATGTATTTGCTTGGTCAGTGTTGCTGTGGGTTTTGGTTTTTGCTGCTATAAGGCTGTAAGGACCTTTGAAATAACTGAAATCGTTTGGCGACATGATATAGACATGTAATGCAGTAAAGACCTGCATTTCGCTATGTATCTCCCTGAAAATAATTGCACACCTTAGAACGTTCAACAGCCAATCAGATTCAAGCATTCAACAGTGCCATAGTATAATGACTAAATATATACCATTCAAAACTTTGGGGTCGGTAAGATTTTTTAATGTTTTAGGCTGCATTCATTTTATCAAAATCAGAATGTTGTAAAATATTAAAATGTACAATAAATGTTTTCTATTTTAATATAATTATAATTTATTCCTGTGATGCAAAGCTGAAATTTCAGCATTATTGCTCCAGTCTTCAGTGTCACATGATTCTTCAGAAATCATTCTAATATGATGATTTACTGCTCAAGGCACATGTATTATTATGAGAATATTTAACAAATGATGATTTTACTTAGGAACGTGTTATTTTTTGAGGAATATTTGATGATTGAATAGAATAATTGAAGTCCATTTTTTTCTTTCTTTCTTAAAATCTATAAATACACCCAAACAACATCTGTTACCTAACTAATAATAACCTTTGCACCTTTTCACTGTCCTCTAACCTTCTGCTGTCTTTTCTCTCTCTTTCTGCTTTCTAGTTGAGTCAGCCGTCTCAGTGCCCGCAGCTGCTGTTCTTTCTCTGTAGTTTACTGAGTGTCCGGCTGAGAGCTCTGTGCTGGGCGCTAGAAAGCCTCCATTACCTCCCCTCACCTATCACAGGTTAGTACACACACACACAAACAAACTCTGGCCTCTGGCCAAACAATGCTGTTACCATGTGTGATGAGTAAGTGTGCTTTGGCAGCATCGCTGTCACTATTCACACTGAATGTGAACAACTAAGTGTTTATAACCTAAAAATTATTTATGTTAGAGAGAGACTGTTTGAGCCAACTACATGCACACTTGAAGAACCGAGCTCAACTGGACAAAGCACACTACGGTAGGGGATAAAAACACATTTTTCATTTTCCACTCACCACCATAAGCCTGAAGGATTTGCCAGAGTTTACATCTTGGATCCACATTGAGATCTGTTTTAAACAGAGAACATCCATCTTGACTGATCCAATCACAAGTGGTCAGCATAGGCAATAAAAACAGATCAGACAAAAACCTAACAGGCAGTTGGCAGATGAGTACATCCAGTCCCCCAAGAATGCCTCTCAACCTTAAAACTGAATCAAGTAAAGATGTTTTCCTTTTTGCTTTTGCAACATGGCATTCTTTAAGTGAAGTGGTTGGAATACACCATGGAAGCAGATGCTGTTTTGTTTTCATTGCCAAAACACTTGATTTCATCAACAAGACTTCGCTTTCACTGTAAGGATTTCACATTTTATTATGCCATTGTGTCACATTTCACCAGTGCATATAATCAAAATATGCTTTTTCTTAAATGGAAAAGAAAAGACTATGCAATGATGATGTAGTAACAGAAATAATTTAGTTGTTTTTTTTGTTGTTGTTTGTTTTAAGCTAAACTGCTTAAAGACCAAACCAAATTAGCAAAGAGGAATTTTTTAATTCTTTAAAATTCCCATCCCTACCTAGAAATCCTCCATCCCTACCTAGAAATGCATTTGAGACACGTTACCACTTTGTGTAAAGCACTTGTGATCGGATCACCAAACAGATCCCCAGTAGCTACTTTTATATGTATACAAATAATCTAGTAATGGGGTTGACGGCTCAGTCGGACTAAAAGCCTTCATGTCAACACCTGAATTGATCTGATTGAGCTCCATTTGAATAAAATTTCGACCAGGTTAAAAGGGGTGGTGTGTAGACTACAGTCAACAGGAAATAATAAACCATGTAAATGCTTGAATTTTCTCAATCGGATAAAAAATTATTGCCGTAATGCTTATGTTTACATATATTTTACATTGTACGAATGTACATATATTTATTTAGGCCATGACAACTCTCGGGATAGATTGTAAAACATTTATTAATGTAAATAGAATGTGCATAGGTTTTGTCTTGGCGGATTACATCTGCTACGCTGCTGCTAGAGAGAGGAAGATCCCCGTAGCAGATATAGACAGGTGGTGCTGGGGAGGTGGTAGGCTAAGATGAGGACACGCATAGCACGCAGACATAGCATTCATTGAATACGTCCTGATTATAAAGGTTTATTGGTAATGAGTTGGTTTATTGAATAAACCAATTAGAACGCAACTAAATAATTACTAAATATTTCTTCAAAAATATTCTTTTGACATACAAGTTTAGAAAAATTTGAAACCTTTGGAATTAGTTGGTTTTCTCCATTAATTGGCCATAAAATGTCATCTGATGTTCATCAAAACCATAAATATAGACAAACACAATGTGCATTAGCTAACAACTCACCAACAATTATAGTCTTTCATGTCTTTATTAACTCATCCGTCCCTCGGGTCATTTTGACCCAAAACTCATATTTAAAGATTTTTTAAAAATCGAGCGTTGATCATTATGGTATGAGACTTTGTTACATTTGTCACACTTGAACTGGGAATACATGAAAAAAAAATAAGAGTGAATTCGAGCAGTTTAAGTGGGTGCTATAAAAAATAAGTATCAAAAGTGTCCCTCGCGGGTCATTTTGACCCGCCACTGGAAAAGCATTGAATTTACAAATTTTTTTTTTTTTTTTCATTTAATTTTGTCACACTTGAGCATGGAGCACACAAAAAAAAATGTGAGTCGATTCGAGGATTCTTTGTGTAATAAAATAAGGTGTAATAAAAAAAAGTAACAAAAGTGTCCCTCGCGGGTCATTTTGACCCGGCCATAGGAATTCATAGAATGTCAGAGAAAAAAAACAGCATTTTTTTATTTAGTTGATATTTTTTTTACTGTATAAAATCTGACAATCCAGAAAAGATGCATACCCAAACAAAAGGCTGAGACTGTAGAATGTCCCCAATGCACAAAAAACTCACATACCCACACACACAGGCGCACACACAGAAACACACACATGGCACACACACTCCCATTGAAACACATTATAGCATTTATGATGTTTCTGCTGGGAAATTTTGAATTTTTTTTTTACTTTTGGCAGAAATTGTGTCTTTCTTTCTTAGTTTTTTTTTGGTGAAAAAAAAATAAAAATATGCTCATTTTCATAAAAATATCCAGATTTTAATGTGAATAAAAAAAATAAAAATAAAACCTACATAAAAAAAATTGAAAAATGGAGCAATATACTGTAAGCTTTCTGGACCAAAAATAAAATGTCATTTTTGGCCTTTGGGTCATTTTGACCCGCGGGACACTTTTGTTATTCGGGAGGGGCGGATGAGGGTTAAACACATCCCATTAAACATTGACAGTGTATATTCACATATGTACATGAATATGTGAATCGGATTGCAATGTTAAGGGTTCTTAAGATCTTTGAGCATAAATGAAGTAGTTTTAAACATGAAATGTCCTTCATAGATGCTGACAGCTTCACGTCAGCTGCTGATGCTTTATCTTTAATGTATTATTAATCCTGCTGGATTTCTATGTGTTACTGAGTAATCTTACTCTGCTGAAGACTAGAGCCTTGATGTTTTATAAGAGAGTTGCTGCACACCAAATTGTGTTCCAGCATTATTAAATAATACTTAAGTACTGAAGTCCTGGTGTCGTGATCGCTCCAGCCCTGTATATTGCTTCCATTGTCCTCATTTGTAAGTCACTTTGGATAAAAGCGTCTGCTAAATGACTAAATGTAAATGTATATTTTTGATGTGTTTCTGTGAATCTTCTGTAGAGAACTCATCTATTGACTTGGTGAGAATGGTGCTTCGTACCTTCATTGATCTTGGGGTAAGTGATTCTGTACATCCTGATTTATTATTTTTGCCCCACTGTGTATATATATATATATATATACAGAAACTGTAAATAAAAGTGAAAGGCCAGATAAACGGAGGACAGTAAAGTGTAACAATCTGTAGCAGGTGTTGTAATAAAGGAAGATTAATTTGGCCTCTGGAGACTAAACAGCATTTCTCTGTTTCTGTGCTTTAGGTGTTGATTGAGGACGGGCAGAGAGAAGATGTGTATCTAGATGTCAGTCCTCTCTTCTCTCAGTGTGCTCACAAAGAGAAACTCTTGCAGTTTTTCAAACAGTTCATGTATAACTGAAAGAGAAAAGTAAATGTTTGGAAGGGAAGTCGGTCTCAGCTGGGAATGATAACAGTAAGCACTTCTGAAATTCCTGTTCAGTTCTTCAGTGTAGTGTAAATCATTAATTATGAATGCTTTTTTGTGTTTATACGTCTGTTTTGCTGAGAGCACTTGCTTTTTGTAATATACGTGATGCTGAGGCTGCGTTTTTTTGTTAGATTTGTTGTTGAGAGCCCAGAATTGGTTTAGTTATTGTTTGGATAATTACTATTCAGATGGTTAGATAATGTTCTCTGTTTATGAAGAGCAGATAAATTCCTGCTAAAAGTTTTTTTTGTTAATTTGTGTTGTTTATTATTATTCTTTTGTTTAACTGTAATGAATATGTAATGGGCTTGGTTCAGTACACACGTTTCTGATAATTGACCCAGTTGCAGTGTTTCTGTCATGGTTTGATTTATAGTTTAGCCACACCCCACTGCATATGAATGTTCATATTTATGCAAACATTCTGCATTACCTAAAACATTAAGATGAATTATCACATACATTTCCTTACTATGCATATTCTGCTTCCATTAGCACAAACACTGAACTCCAAAGTACCATTTAACTGATTCTTGAGACATGGAACAAAAGAGGTCGTGCTTTTACTTGTCCTTAGTTTTAAAAAATAGTAACAGTTGCACTTTAAAATGAATCTAAGATGATCACTAAGATGTGCGTATTATGTATTGTAAATTAAATAATTATATAGGAAAAAAACTCGATGAATACATGAATACTTCATGTACATTATAAAATTCTGAAAAAATCTATAATAGAACATTTTAAAAAGATCAATATTAAAATTGTCTATAATTTTCTTGAAAGTAATTATTAAAAAAAAAACAGACCAATACTTAATATACATATAAAATATATGTCAATACAGAAATGCCATCTCCTGAGAGAGGGAAATGCTAATTAAAAATCAATGTCATTTTCAAGGTTTCACAGCCACATTCATACTTTGTCTGCACTAAGATGTTTATGAAAAAAAATCTGCTTTTTAATCAAAAACATCTAAAAAGCAATGTCAAATTCACCTTTCTTTACCAGTTTATTTCCTCTGCTGTAAGTTCGTCGTCATCACATGCTCAAGTGAGATTTATATGCATGTATTTTTTTTTTACATTTTAGCTAACTGGTGAGAGGAAATGTCAACCATCAAAACTGCTCAATTACAAAGAAATTGTTTTGGATTTTCTTATACTTTGCCACTATTCATGTGATAAAAGAGGATGGTCATTTTTTTTAACACTGCAAGACTTTCTGACAATTTCCTGAATTCAACAGAAAGAGCTAAAAAAAAATAGCTTTTGAAAACCATCCTGTAGTCTAAATTCATAACAGTGTTTCAATGCTATATTATAGATATACAGTGGGTACGGAAAGTATTCAGACCCCCTTAAATTTTTCACTCTTTGTTATATTGCAGCCATTTGCTAAAATCATTTAAGTTAATTTTTTTTCCTCATTAATGTACACACAGCACCCCATATTGACAGAAAAACACAGAATTGTTGACATTTTTGCAGATTTATTAAAAAAGAAAAACTGAAATATCACATGGTCCTAAGTATTCAGACCCTTTGCTGTGACACTCATAATTCTGTGTTTTTCTGTCAATATGGGGTGCTGTGTGTACATTAATGAGGAAAAAAATTAACTTAAATGATTTTAGCAAATGGCTGCAATATAACAAAGAGTGAAAAATTTAAGGGGGTCTGAATACTTTCCGTACCCACTGTACATTAGAGTATGCAATACTTTTGATATGTTGACATTTGGTTATTAAAAATATCCAGGAAAATAAAAGAAAAATGTTTACCCCAAAATGTAAATGATCACCTCAATCCAAAACAGTTCCTCTGTCTCAAGAATCAGTGATTCCAGTGGTCCAGTTGAGTTTCAGGAGGTTTTCTCTAAATGGAGTATTGATGGGTAATAATCATGATGGATGCTACAGAGGCACTGCACTATCACTCCCTGGAAATGACTTTGGCTCTATATATATACCCATCTCTTGACAGTCCCATATATAAACACCCATCCATGCAACATGAGAACAGTTCCTGAGTAAATGTGCATTTACACACAACCATCATTCTTGAGTGAGTGGCCTTGCGTGTTCGTCTGAAACACAAAGACTAACGGACGGCTGCTGCTTGTAGCGCAAAAGTGCTGAATAAGCTCTCTAGAGCCACCCAGACAATCGACCCACAGACTCGCCACACACACACACACACACCGCTAGATGAGCGTGAAAGCTGGAGATGGGAAAAGAATAGGGTGATTAACAAGAAACGAGATGGGCTGAGAAATAACAGTTGGCCGCTGCACTCAGAGATTCACTTGATTAACACGTTCCTTTAAAAATCACTTTGTTTTAAGGTTGACATGAAATGGAAATTCGCCCTATCTATTTTGTGAACGTATGTAATAGATCTTGTTGTGACCGATTCACCCATGTTTTTTATTTCTTAATTGAATTTAACTCGATCCTCCAGACTTCTCTCTGGTGATATACGCCAGACTTCTCCAATCATTTAGTCTGCTTAAACCCTGCTCTTTTCTTGCATTTGACTGAAAGCTTACATTAGTTTTTGAGTGGTCACTGATCCAATCAATGACCAATGGATCCAAGTTTTATGGATCTTCCAATGGATCTGTTACATACTTTTACTTATGTATGTCACAGTATGATAGAAAACATCTGTCGCTAGTTGTTTTCATCACAACTTTAAGATACTTTGAAAAAAGGCTACAATTCCTGCTTTTATTGTATTAGATTTAGTATTCAACTCAGGGGTCCCATACCTTTTGACCAACATTTAAGACTTTTTATGATTTTTATTCATTTGAATGATTTTTCCAAATATAAGAATTTGAATCCTGCTTATTGAATAGTCACCTTATTTTGAAAGGCAGTGTAATTTAGCACAAAAATAAATTTGTTTCTGGGAATCAAACCTATTTATCTGAAGCTGAGAACAGATAAAATGGACAAGAAATAATGAAAGCTAACATAAACAGGCCAGTAATGCCCTCTACTGGAACCCTGGGCATGAAAACCCCAGTGTGAAACTAAATGGTGAAAAGCACAGTGATAATGAAACTAAAAGGCTGCATTCTAAACGTTTTTCTTTTCAAATTGGCCCAGAGCATAATGTTTATTTTATTTTCTTCAGTTAAAAAAGAATCCATGTTTTATGACGTCAGTATGAAATAATTATAAATGCAGTAGTGGCACTTCAATGTAGGATCTTCCTGTTACACGACTGTGTTCCGTATCGACCCGATCTCGTCAATCTGACACTCCACAACATCTCCCCTCTGAAACACATTAAAACAATATACTGACCTTCAGTAAAAACAACAGTAATACCAAACATGTTGAAATAATACCTGCTGCATTATGAAAAGGATAAAACATTTTACTGCTCTACTCTTGAGAACTATTTGATAGGAAATTGGCTGCTTTTTTTACACAAAAAATTAACCAATTACATCTACTGGGACACAGATTTAATATACATGTTATACATTAATATCATATTTGAGGAAGTGGAGTTTCTGTTAACGGATCCTCTTAACATTTTAAAGACATGCTTATACCCAGTGGGGCACGTTTGCTTGTAAATCTCAGTGGACTAGATCAATTTAAATGTGATGGTACATATTTTTTGCCACTCATAAGTGTCAAAATGCAACAGTGTTCTAAAGGAACTAACACTTTTCTGTTGTGTAAATTGCATTTATAATCACCCAGGATTAAAGTCAGTTATTTTCTAACAAGCTCATATTTGGTGTAAATGACGTGGCGTGGCGGATCACTGTTTGACTGAATGAAGAATGAAAGTTTTTGTTTTTTGTATACATTATCTCACAAAAGTGAGTACACCCCTCACATTTCAGCAACCATTTTATTATATGTTGTCAAGGGACAATACTATAGAAATTAAAATTGGATATACTTTAGACTGGTCAATGTGCAGCTTGTATAGCAGTACAGAATTACTGTCCTCTAAATATAACTCGACATACAGCCATTGGTGTCTAAATAACTGGCAACAAAAGTGAGTACACCCTAAGTGAATGTCAAAACTGTATCCAAAGTGTCAATATTTTGTGTGAGCACCATTGTTATCTAGCACTGCTTTAATCCTCCTGGGCATGGAATTCACCAGAGCTTCTGCTTCAGAATGTCACAGTACATGCTGGAATTCATGTTTCCCTCAATGAACCGCAGCTCCCCAGTACCAGCAGCACTCATGCAGCCCCAGACCATGATGCTACCACCACCATGCTTGACTGTAGGCAAGACACAATTACCTTGGTACTCCTCACCAGGGCGTTGCCACTGTACTGCAACTCAGTTTAAGGGTGTTACAGATCTTCTTATAGCCTAGGCCATCTTTGTGGAGAGCAACAATTCTAATTCTCAAATCCTCAGAGAGTTCTTTGCCATGAGGTGCCATGTTGAACATCCAGTGGTCATTATGAGAGAATTGTACTCAAAGCACGACATTTTAACTGCTCTAATGAACTTATAGAATTGTACAGTAAGAAAGTTATTTCCTTTAACCAGGAAATTAACGTTCTTAGAATTGACAAGACGGTTGACCCTGAGTGGTCAGCTAAATATCTACAGTGGATCTAAAATATGAATAGTTAATTATAACTAGTTATGGTTAATTATTCATATTTTCCATGAGCTGATTTGCTACATCATTCGTACACAGAGAAAAGTTGTGTTATGTGACCAAAAACGAAGAGCCAAAGCACAAGCAAAACAAGGTTCTTTGGCGATATGCATGGAATTTTAATTTGATTATTTCTTTAACCACTAAAGTAATCGTTATATAGAGTAGCTTTAATAATGATATAACATCTTACATAATATTTGATACAAACTATTTTACAAATGCGATTATTTTCTCTCAGCAATTACTTTTTTGATATTCGAAATAGTCATTGCAAAGACTGATTGTGTTTTCTTATTTGTTTGTAGTTCATTATATCTCATTGGATCACTCTGGGTAACTGGCAAAACCTGGAAGAAGTCAGTAATTGCATCTTTGCACTGATTTGTTCGGCCCTGTGATTCCCTCTGTAAATCAACTTGAATTGCTGTCAGTCCTGTCGATGCCAATTAGAAAGTTTAAATACTGATGCCAGTGGCTGTTAAATGTGCCTCTTTTCTTTTGAAACTTCAGTTTCGTGTGAAAACTGGTGTCAATAAGACCATTCCAGCTGGTCTTGTGTTGTTCTGCATTTCAGCTGTTCTCATTGTGCCAGTGTCAGTGACACTGTTCTGACTGTTTCAGGAAAGGCTTTAAGCGGGTGTTAACAGCCTGCCAGGTGCAGTGATTGTGGGTTGTGTGACGCTAACCCAGCCATGTTGAAATATACATTGATTTTCCTATAGAAGAGCTCACCTTTAGATACACAGGTGGATTTCTGAACACCCCCACAGCTGGAGGCGTTCCAGTCAAAAACACATCACCAGGACAAAGAGTCACAAACACACCAATTTAAGAAGAAATTGTATGCATATTATATACACTACCAGTCAAAAGTTTTTGAACGGTAAGATTTTTCATGTTTTTTTTTAAAGAATTCTCTTCTGTTCACCAAGCCTGCATTTATTTGATCCACAATACAGCAAAATCAGTAATATTGTGAAATATTTTTACTATTTAAAATAACTGCTTTCTATTCGAATAGTTTTGAAATGTAATTTATTCCTTGATCAAAGCTGAATTTTCAGCATCATTGCTCCAGTCTTCAGTGTCACATGATCCTTCAGAAATCATTCTAATATGCTGATTTAGTGCTCAAGAAACATTTGTATTAGTATTATAAATATTTAAAACAGTTTAGTAAATTTTGATGAATAGAAAGATCCAAAGATCAACATTTATCTGAAATAAAAAGCTTTTGTAACATTATACACTATACCATTCAAAAGCTTGGAGTCACTATAATATATATATATATATATATTTTTTTTTCTCAGCAAATCAGAATATTAGAATGATTTCTGAAGGTGTCACGGAATGCCAAGAGAGACGAGGTAAGAATCCAGGTGCAGTTTATTTAAAGTAACAAATAATCAAAACGGAACAAAAACACAAGAAACAGAATAACACAGTGAACTCCAGATAACATCAAGAAGACATGGGAAGACAAATACAATATAGCAGCAGTGACAGACGGAGTGAGCATGGTATATATAGATGGGATAAAGAGTAAATGACTTAACAGGTGAAAATGATCGGAACTGATAACCAGGTGCTCATGATCAGACAGAATGACAAGCAAGGGACTATGGGAAATGGAGTTCAACACATATAACAAAAACGGGAGAGTGCCCTCAAGTGGCCAGTCCAGGGCACCACAACCAGACACTGTGACAGAAGGATCATGTGACTGGAGTAATGATGCTTAAAATTCAGCTTTACATCACAGGAATAAAATAAATTTTTACGATATATTAAAATAGAAAACGGTTATTTTAAATTCTAATAATATTTCACAATATTACAGTTTTTACTGTATTTTTGATCAAATTAATGCAGTCTTGAAGAGCATGATTTTCTAAATGAAACCAGAGTGAGTTTGCTTACTGTGAAACCCAGGCAATCAGCTTCTCGGTTCGAAAGATCATTTGATTGGTGCTACTGTCTTGATCTGCGGCCCCATTCACCAGACAGCGGATACCCAGGTTGTGAACATGTTTGACCAGAAATATTGCTAGCATTAATTATCAAATACAACATCTGTCTTACTTTTTTGTATTTTCCACTTTACCTTTGAGTGCTGCAGTGGTAACCAGTGCTGGCCCGAGTGGACCAAACGTGTCAAAAGTTTTTCCCAGCAACCACTGCTTTCCATTGCGCTTCATCTGCCAATCATGAGCACTCACGTCGTTTGCTACAGTGAAACCTGCAACATAGGAAAGGGCCTCCTCTTCCTAAGACAAATAGACAAATGTATTTGACATAAATTAAGTTCGGGAAAAATTTTCTGGGAATGCCAACAGGCATGGCATAAGAAATGTTTTGCTAATAGGACGCTGAATTATAGGCTATGCAAGTCTTTATTGATTGGCATATGAAATAATAGTCAGAAAAATCTTTTGAAATGGAGCAGCTTACTGAACCCTGAAAAAGGTTGCATACGTGTTATTTATTTTTATTTCTTTTATTTTTAGGCCTTTATGGCTCATATAATATGATATTGGACAATGTGGAGCTCAAACACCACCACATGTTTTATTAGGGTGCTTTCACACTTGAGTTTTGTTTCCAAAGTTTCGGTACATAATGGCACTTACGTCTGTCTTACGAATGTACTGCAAATGCTCTAAAGAACGCTGAAGGCAAACAGAAATTAGAGCTACAGCTCTCTGTTTGTAGCGCGTCAGTCACGCTCATCAGGAAAGTGAGTGAAACACACACAAACACCCATTTTTATCAAATAATACGTCATTAGTAGCGGTTCACTTCCGTGATTTGGTACAATTGGTGGCTGACTAAATACTTTTTTCCCCACTGTATAATATGATATTGGACAATGTGGAGCTCAAACACCACCACATGTTTTATTAGGGTGCTTTCACACTTGAGTTTTGTTTCCAAAGCTTCGGTACACAATGGCACTTACGTCTGTCTTATGAATGCACTGCAAATGCTCTAAAGAACGCTGAAGGCAAACAGAAATTAGAGCTACAGCTCTCTGTTTGTAGCGCGTCAGTCACGCTTGTCAGGAAAGTGAGTGAAACACACAAACACACATTTTTATCAAATAATACGTCATTAGTAGCGGTTCACTTCCGTGATTTGGTACGATTTGGTACGATCAGCAGCGAACCGTACCGGAGTTCACTTGAACCGTACCCCAGACCACCCTTTTTAAGCGGACCCGGGTACGGTTCGCTGATGCGCACCCGAGTTCGGAAGACAGCGTTCACATCATCCAAACGAACCGAACTCTGACGTCAATCGAACCCGGGTGCGCACCAAAAGTGCTAGTGTGAAAGAGGCCCAAACTGAGCAACAATATGCAATTTGGTGCAGATGCTTATATTTATATTGCAGAAATTCTGATAGCTTGTAACATAAGTGAGATTTTTTATAACAGTATAGCAGACATTTAATAAATGTATTTAAATATCAGTTGTCACTCTATATCTTCCAATAATATGTCTAGGTAAGATTATATTTAAATGCCTAGTTTATAATCAAAACTTTGTCGTTTTTATTGTGGGGGGGTAAAACATATCACGCAATGCAATGATGGCTGAGAGATGTACAAATAAACATTTCCTGAAAGCCTGATGTATCATTTGATACATTTTAAACATGATTTTCTCAACAAATTATGTATGGATCACCAAATAAAATTGCTTCAGTTCATTAAATGTTCACCTTGAAATATTACTTACAATATAAAAATGATTCTTAAGTTTACCTTCAGTAAATAAGTAAATTAATCAGTAAATATTTCACTGCTAAAAGACATGTGAACCACGACCTGAAAGTGGATGGTTTTTTCAATTGTACTAAAAGGCCTTTTGCTTGCTGAAAAAAACCAGTTGTCACTCTATATCTTCCAATAATATGTCTAGGTAAGATTATATTTAAATGCCAATTTATAATCAAAACTTTGTAGTTTTTATTGTGGGGGGGTAAAACATATCACGCAATGCAATGATGGCTGAGAGATGTACAAATAAACATTTCCTGAAAGCCTGATGTATCATTTGATACATTTTAAACATGATTTTCTCAACAAATTATGTATGGATCACCAAATAAAATTGCTTCAGTTCATTAAATGTTCACCTTGAAATATTACTTACAATATAAAAATTATTCTTAAGTTTACCTTCAGTAATTAAGTAAATTAAAAAGTAAATATTTCACTGCTAAAAGACATGTGAACCACGACCTGAAAGTGGATGGTTTTTTCAATTGTACTAAAAGGCCTTTTGCTTGCTGAAAAAAAAAACTATAAACTGTCAATCATATGACAGAAGGCATGTAGCAGATTGTGTACAACAGATTTTCAAGATTTGATCATGTTGATAATTTAGAGGCCTTAGAAATTTGTGTATAGTAGGCTTTATAGGGTTAAATGTGTTATATTGCATATTTTGACTGCTCCCATTTGTCTATAATTGAATCTCATTCACATGCTTAAATATGAAAGGAAAACTTGAAATCGCATCATATGACCCCTTTAAGAGAGAGAAAATCAGAGAGATGATACATGAGTTGCCGAATCGTGACACTGGAAGGGATGTGTTGATTTAAAACATTGCGGAAGCACTAATCTATAATATGGATAATATAATACATCAATAATCGCTATATAGAAATGAGTAAGTCTGTAGTGAATTACATCGAATGATTGTGCAAGTTATTTTTAATTTTGCTAAGGCCTTTTGCTTGCTGAAAAAAAAAACTATAAACTGTCAATCATATGACAGAAGGCATGTAGCAGATTGTGTACAACAGATTTTCAAGATTTGATCATGTTGATAATTTAGAGGCCTTAGAAATTTGTGTATAGTAGGCTTTATAGGGTTAAATGTGTTATATTGCATATTTTGACTGCTCCCATTTGTCTATAATTGAATCTCATTCACATGCTTAAATATGATTGTCCTGCTATTGCTGCTGAAATTACACATGTAATGTGTAATACAGTAAATCTTATCAATCAATCAACAGAACATTTTGATTTTAATATACATGTCAACAGATGGAGATATAAATGACTCTTTTACAACCTTAATGTGCTTCCCTTTCCGTCCAATCACAAAGGCAAGTTCCACCTCCCAATCCACTTTCTGTAAATTGAGCCAAACCAATGTGAACATATGCATTACATTTGTTCCATTTTCAATATTCAATTTGGAATAAAATGGGATTATTTTAAAGTTGGTCATGTCTACATGTTGAATAGAAATCTGCATGTGACAGATTCCCGCAGGCACTACAAGAGTCAGTCTCATAGAGAGTAGTTATCCTGTAGTATGGAGAGTCATTGCTGAATATGATGGGCTCTTCAGGAATGGGGGCATTTTGCTCTAGGCAGTGGTCTTTATAATTCATACCAACACACACCACCTTCTCTGGGCCGGTCACTGGGGACAGCAGCCTGATATCTGACCGCTCCACCACATGCTGACCACTGGACAAAGCCCTGAGAAAGATTAATAAATGCTGTTTTCTATAACATAACACAGTCTACCCATAATAGATCTTTGATATCAACTCTTGAATGCCTAAATAATTAACTAATAACATGTAAATGTATGTAGGCATTTTTGTAGGCCAATTGTGTGGTTTGTGTTACAGTGTGCATTCTTAACACCTCTTAGCACAGTCCATTCCCTTTTGCCCCATTTCAAGGAACTGTCTCATAGTGGAAGGCATGGAGGGGTCGAAGGCTTTCAGATCAATGACCCCCTGACCTTCTGCCTGCTCCACCCCGACTCTGACGCCCCCCTCGCCTCCTCTATGGAACTGGACGAGTCTCATAGCGGCTGAGCTTGTGGTGCCTCTGACGATGCCTGCAGAGAATACGGCATTGAGTCTCCTCAAACTGAGCTGAGAGATACCCAGAAATCTCATCTATTAGAAAACAGGAAAAGACATGCAGCAGTGAAAGAGAGAGATGGACAAACAGATTGATAGGTGCAAGACGATAGGAGAAATAACATGCCCTTCAAGTGGAGTCGGAAATATCATATTTGCAAATTCCAAGCACATTGACCAAGCGAAATCATATTTAAAGGGGTCATATGATGCTTTTTTTAAAGAGCATTATTTTGTGTATTTGGTATAACAGAATATGTTCACATGCTTTAATGTTCAAAAAACACTTTATTTAAAACCCCCAGCAGGTTTGATCATGCACAGTACAAAAAAATCAAATAAAGATTACAAAAATGATCTGTCTGAGGTATAACGTGTTACACGCGGCAACATCTCACTGTTATCCGAGTCAAATGACACAATCGTTGTACTTTGACACGCTGTCGTGTGACTTGACGTCCGGATTTGTTCTTTGAGTCGAATCTTTTGATCGCACGAGCTGAACCTGTTCGCGGATTCATGAGGATTTAACCGTGATGAAGTGTTCAGAAATATTGTTTAGGGAAATCTATTTAACAGTGTGTAATTTACGACCATTCATCAAATGGCATACCAAACAAATTTGGTATACATAGTTTTAAAGCTGGGTGATGTAAATTAATTGTATTATCTACTAAAAATAATGTATATAAATTACTTAATAGCTGCTACAAAATAAACTGAGACACATGGGAATATAATAAACACTCTTCGTTTGTTATAAAACCTGATATAAACGTACTAAAGAGTCGTGTGTGATAAGTGTCTAGTCTAGTCTAGTGGGACGACAAAATAACCGTTTTTTGAGCCGGTTTGTAATGAACTGTTCAAAAGAACCGATTCGCTGAAACGAGTCGGACTTTTCATCTCTGTGACTTCCGTTTTTATTTTGTAGTTTAAGGGATGTTTGTTGACAAAGACGTAATTTAAGGAAATACACGCGTGAGTTAAAATATTGAAATACGTTTAAAAATTGCAGATCAATATATTAGTTCCACAATTAATCATTAATCACGTGACTCCAGCGGTCATGTGATGTGAGTCTGAACGCTGTCAGCTGACGTCACGACTTCGCCTCTGCAAGAAGACGACGGAAGGAGCCGCGAGGATGTCTGTGAGGTAGGAGGATTATTGCGAGTTTGTGAAGTTTCAAATGAGTTTTAGTGTTGCTGCTGTTTTTGTGTGGTTATGGGGAGTTTTCTGCGCTCACTGCATTAAGTCTGTGTGCGACTGCAGCCCTTTGAAGTAATAATTGCTGAAAGCTAGATTATGCAGTACTGGCCAATAGGTTTTTTTTTTTTTTTTTTTTTTTTTAAATCTGTTTCTTCCTACGATTATACAAATCGTTTGTGATTAATCTCGTGATTTCTTATCAGTGCTTAGAAAGCAGAATTAAACCTTAAAGTTCCATTTTAACTGGTTTATTATTATTATTATTATTATTATTATTATTATTACCACCCCATTCCAGAGTTCTAAGTTCACGAAGCAGAATTAAATAACAGTTTCAGCAAAACAGTTCCTCTTTGCTGATATGACAACGACAAATCAATATTTTAAACATGAGACAGATTTCAGTTTGCCATGTCAGCAGCAAGGGCCTGTAGTTGCTGAAGCTGCGAGTGAGTTATTCTAGATGTTTCAGAAACAGAAGTGTATTCATGGTTCTTTGCCGCAGTTTCAGTCCTTTGGACCCCACTACTCGTAGATGCTAAATGACACTCAAATGTTAATCAAACATTATCAGAAGTAGTGAGAGCAGCTGCAATGAGTCAAGCTAAACATCAACTTATTTTGTAAGAGCTTTTCATGTCTGTACACATGATATGATTGGTAAAGGTTTTAATCTTCTCTGTCTTTCCTTCATTCCAGTGTCCAGCCTCTCCAGTGCACCACTGACTGCAAGGACCAGAAGTTAGTAGATCGCCGTCTCAAACGCTGAACTTGATGTGCTTCACTTGTGCATGGCTGCTCTCAAGCTTGACAGACTACTTGGCAGCACAGGAACTGTGACTATTAATGAATCAGCCATCACTTCTCTTATCTGAACTGCCTGCTTTACAATCAACAACACATAGACTTTAGACTTAAGCCTGCTTTCTGATGACTGATGTGTAAAAGTAGAGTGTATTGTCTCAAGCGTGGCCCTGTGTAAACTGAACTACACAATTAGATCTGAATTTGTTCCGATATTCCAGTAAAATTACATTTATACACATTTTTCCTTTTTTAAGCATAAAACTAACACATTTAATGAATTATTTGCATAAAATAAAAAAGCAACAGTTTGCCCGTGGCCAGGGGTGGCACCGGCCCCCCCTTAAATTTGGCCACCCCAGGTGCCCCCCCTTCCAGATGTCTTGCGATAGGCTTGTTTTTAGTACGTTTCTAACTGCATCTGGCAGTGGCGGATCCTGGCATGTGTAGGCAGCTGCCTGGGGCCGCTTTCTTCTCTTCTTTATACTTAATTTTAGGCGGTTTGCTTAGTGAGTGTACACGATGTATTATAACATACATCGTTCCTCAAACACAACCCCCCCCCTCTTTTGAGCCAGTGCCCCCGACTGCTGGGCCAGGGCCCCCGACTGCCCCCCCCCCCCCATTTAAAATGCTCTAGACACGAATACTATTTTAGTATTATTTATGTACTTTTATAATGTTAATTAATATTTTGAATTAGCTTTTATTTTTATATTTATTTTAGTACTATTTATATACTGATTTGGTGTTATTAATATTTTGAATTAGCTTTAATTTGATGTATTTTTCATTTCAGTTTAAAGTTTTATTCATTTTGGTATTTGCTTTTGCCATTTTATTGGTTTCTTTATATATATGTTTTTTGTCTATTTAACTTTCATTGATATTAATTTCAATTTTAGTAAATGTAGTTTAGTCCTTATTTTATTTCAGTTAGCTGCCAAGGCAACATTTCTGTTCCATTTCTTTTTTCAACTGCTTTAAGGCTTGACATAAATTTTGAAAATATTTTAAAATGCCACAAAACATGGAACAACTTGTGTAAACAATACCTATAATTAAAATATTATTACTCTTTTTTTTTCTTCTTTTTTTCTCTCCATAAAACACCAAACTTTAAGCTAATAGATTACAGAGTTACAGCACGTTCAAAGTTGGACACTGGACTTTCTGTAATACAAACATTTCATTTTGATGCCATGTATAAATAACTGATAGATAATTACAATTATTAATCTTTTTTTTGTTGTTGTTTCATCTCATATCATTTCATTATATTTCAGCTTTATTTAAATTAATGAAAATTATTTGTAATTATTTTTAGTTAACAAATCTAGTTAACAACAACACTGGCCATATGAGTATATTGTCTGAAAACAAGTATTAATATCTTCCCCAATTTTGATTCACAAGTAAATGTATATGGTTTTAACCATGTTTGCATTTTTATATATATAAAAAAAAAACAGCACAGATCCAGTAAATGATTTATTTATTTTTTGTTAAGCACTACAGTACTGTTTGGATTTACTGCAGCTTTTCTGCAGTTTGTATATTAGAGCAAAAGTGTATATTGCTATTTTGTTTATTCTTCTCTTCTACAGTTTTGATGGCATAATCTTGATATGCCAAAGTTATGAGCAGCTTCCTGATGAGCTGGAGTGTTTGAAAGCACCATTACAGGACTACAGCGCAGTGAGTTCAACACCACACACACCTGACCAGCCCTGCTGCTGATATGCATTTCTTTTTATTGCACACATCTGTACTCTTTCACATTCAGGTGGACTGTTGCGTTGCTGAGGAGGTGGTGGTGGTCAAGGTTCCTGGTCTCTCTGGAAACAGACTGGTGTTTGCCTGCACCGGTCCGGTGAATCGGGACTATGATGATGTGCGGCGCTTCAGTGACGCTGCTGCTAAAGGCATTAAGAGGTGCTTATGCAAGCGTGATGTGTAATGATCATGTGTAATGTACATCCTGTCAAAACAACATTATCTTTTCATATCTTCACGTTCTTCTAGGACACATTTCTCTCTTTAAAGAGGACTTTTTCCTCATCCAGAGGTTTTCTGAATAATTTTTTTTTTTATTATAGGGCTCTGAAAGCTGGCATGCAGCGCCCTCTGCTGGTTTGTCCTCCACACAGCAGCTATGCAAAGAGCACCTTAGTGGCTGTTCTAGGAGCCCTGCATGTTCTCTACACGGTGAGAAATTTTGTATAATTTTTTTTTTGTAATGTACATTTTTAATTATCACTTTATTTCATTCATTCAACCAAATGATTACATATTATAAATTCAGTTTCCTTGAAAATTCCATCTCTCTCTCTCTATCAAATTAAATAAAAATTGCATTTAAGTACTTTTTATTTCACATCTGGTTATTTTTTTATTATATTTTATATTTTTCATTACATACTTTAAATCATTAAAATATTTTTGTTAATTGAAATAAAGCTGATATTATATATAGTGTAAGCATTTTTTTTTATTTCATTTCTGTTTATATATATATATATATATATATACACACACACACACACACACACACACACACACACGCACAACCGTTCAAAAGTTTGGGATCAGTAAGATTTTTTATGTTTTTAATGCAGTCTCTTTTGCTCATCAAGGCTGTATTTATTTGATCAAAAATACAGAAAACTGTAATATTGTAAAATATTATTGCAATTTCTAATATTGGTTTCCTATTTTATTATACTTTAAAATATAATTTATTTCTGTGACGCAGTGCTAAATTTACAACAGCCATTACTCTAGTCTTCAGTGTCACATGATCCTTCAGAAATCATTCTAATATGCTGATTTATTCTCAGTGTTGAAACTGTTGTGCTGCTTAATTTTTTTTTTTGGAACCTGTGATACTTTTTTCTTTGAATAAAAAGTTAAAAAGAGCAGCATTTATTCAAAACGAATCGTTTCTAACAAAATAAGTCTTTACTATCACTTTTAATCCATTTAACACATCCTTGCTGAATAAAAGTATTAATTTCTTT